AGCCCAAAGTTCGGGTTACTGTCAGACGTGAAGAACCCATCCCTCCTGTCCGAGCTTAAGCAGGGGGAGAAAATCAAGAAAATGATGATCAGCAACAAGCTGAAGATGAACAAGACACTGAGGTCCGAGTTGATGATGAGATCCAGGATGAGAATGATGAACCGGGTTCTCAAGCTGAAGAACAACCGAGATATCCAACTCAAGAAAAAAGACCCTCTACGAGATACCCATCTGATGAATACACCGTTGTTGCTGAAGACGGTGAGCCTCAGAGTTATGATGAGGTTGTGACTAGCTCAGAGAAAGAAGAATGGGAAAAGGCAATGCGAGACGAGATGAAGTCTCTGCACGAGAATCAGACTTATGAGCTGACCGAGTTGCCTAAAGGAAGACGAGCTTTGAAGAATAAATGGGTCTACAAGATTAAGAATGAAGAGAACGGGCAAAAGCCGAGATACAAAGCCCGGATTGTAGTGAAAGGTTGCAATCAGAAGAAATGAGTTGATTTTGAGGAGATTTTTTCTCCTGTGGTGAAAATGACCTCGGTTCGAACCGTGTTAGCCATGGCGGCTTCAATGGACCTCGAGGTAGAACAAATGGACGTGAAGACGGCATTTCTTCACGGTGATTTAGAAGAAGAAATATATATGGAGCAACCTGAAGGATTCCAAGCTCCAGACCAAGAAGACTTGGTATGTCGTTTGAAGAAGAGCCTCTATGGCTTGAAGCAAGCACCTCGGCAGTGGTACAAGAAATTTGAATAATTCATGATTGATCATAAGTTTGAGAAGACTGAAGCCGACCACTGCTTATTTGTAAAGAGGTATGAGGCCGGAGATTTTTTGATTTTGTTGTTATATGTTGACGACATGCTTATTGTAGGGAAAGACAAATCGAGGATAGCCGCCCTGAAAAAGGCGTTGAGCTTGTCCTTCGCAATGAAGGACCTCGGCCCTGCAAAGCAGATACTCGGAATCAAGATTATCCGAGATAGACAGAAGAAGCTACTGTGGCTGAGTCAAGAGAAATATATTGAGAAGATTCTGAAGAGATTCAGCATGGACAAAGCCAAAACAGTGAGCACCCCCCTAGCCGGACACATAAAGCTAAACCAGAAGCAATGTCCGAGATCTGATGAAGACAAAGATGAAATGATGAAGGTCCCTTACCAATCCACCGTTGGAAGCTTGATGTATGCAATGGTTTGCACCAGACCTGACTTGGCGTATGCTGTTGGAATGGTAAGCCGATATTTGTCAAACCCCGGCAAAGAGCACTGAGAAGCAGTGAAGTGGATCTTCAAGTACCTCCGAGGTACAACCAACTTATGTCTCCGTTTTGGAGAAGGCAAAGCCGAGTTGCAAGGCTACTCGGATTCTGATTTAGGGGGAGATTTCGACTCGAGGAAGTCGACCACAGGATATTTGATGAGATTTGCCGGAGGAGCTGTCTCTTGGCAATCAAGACTTCAGAAATGTGTTGCACTATCTACAACTGAGGCTGAGTACAGTGCCGCTACTGAGGCAAGCAAAGAGATGCTGTGGATGAAGAAGTTCCTCATGGAACTCGGTCATGATCAAGACAAGTACGAGCTGGGTTGTGACAATCAAAGCGCAATCCATCTTGCGAAGAATTCGACCTATCACTCCCGCACTAAGCATATTGATGTGAGGTATCACTGGATCCGGGATGTGGTGGAAGGTGGAGAGCTCGAACTCGTCAAGGTGCACACTGACCAAAATTGGTCTGACATGATGACAAAGCCGGTTCCAGCAAGAAAATTTGAAGACTGCTGTGAAGGAGCCGGGTTGATGCTGAAGCCGACGCATTGAAGTCGGAGGGGGAGATTTGTTGGGCTTCCTCCTTCAATACTAAGCCCAAGCCCATTTGAGGGGTTTCCTAAAAACCCTAACCCTAATTTCCACCTCCTGGGTCTTTTCATTTGGTAATTAGATTTTGTGCATATGTTTCTTCTCTGTCTATTTATCTTCTTCATCTTATCAAGTTGTTCTTCTATTAGATGAACATGTAATATTTTTTATTTTTTTGTAGCACTATTGTAGAGTAATGCTGACGGGATGATTTGAAATCACTAGAATATGTATTTCTTTACTTCCTCAGAAAAAGTATGACATTCTTCTCTATCTTTTTTTCTTCTACAAGTATTTTTTTCCATAACACAATATTGTGATATGCTTTTTTTTAACTATTGTATGTATGCGTTTTGTAGGGTGGAAGAATCCATGTTATTGTCAAGTTGTTCTTTTATTAGATGAACATGTAATTTTTTTATTTTATTTTTTGCAGCTCTGTTGTAAAGCAAAGCCAACGAAAGAATTTGGAATATCACAAGCCTGAGTGTACTTTGTGGGAGCGGTGTGTAGATCAAGTACAAAAGTTTTTGGCAAATAATCAATCTCCTCAAAATGTTGAAAAAAGATTTCAGGGATATTTTTTTTAGGGTCAGGATCATTTTACACCAGTGTAAGTTACACTCTCAATCTTGTCTGTTGATCCCACTTATATCCAAGGGCTCTAATTTTTTAGTAATTTGAGTCATTGGATACAAGTGGATCAATGGTTAAGATTGAGTGTAAGACTTCTAACTCTTACACCAGTGTAAGAATATCCTGCCCCTTTTTTTATAATTTTTTCTCATTTTATGCTTATATTTCAGGGTTATCAATGAGGAAAACGCGAAAAATGCATAATGGTGGAAAATTAAAAGATCAAGGATTTATAATAGTGAAAGCAAACAATCTACCACAAAACCAACATCATCAATGAAATTAAGGTTAAGAAGAAGAAGAACGGTTTGTGAGTATATTAGAAGGAAGAAGAAGATATGGGTTACTCTCTTTTAGTTTTTAACTTTTGATTTTTTTATTTGTTATTTCAATTGCATATGTTTCGAATCAAAGACCCCAAAGTGAGCCTTGATTTTTATTCTCGCGTTTTGGGCATGTTCATTCGAAAAGCCACCTAGGCATGCCTTCTCAAACCATAGAATCTTTTGTATCTTCTGATTGTACACCCAAATTATACGAGATTTATTACATTTATTTTACTAATAATAATTGCTAATCTCTTTCTTTATATTTTTTTATAAGTTTAATAAGATTAAAACTAAAATGATACGTTTTTAATTTTTTTAGAGTCATTTATAATATGTTCCTCTTGTCTTACACTACAATTCGAGTTGTTTACTTTGTTATGCTAATCAATTATCGTTAATGTAGATAGCACCCCATTTATGGTATATGTTACTTACAAACAAATTTTTATGGTATATGTTACCTACAAACAAATTTTAAAGCACGCACAGTCATAACTTTCTTGGAGATGTAACTCATAGCGAGTACTATATTAGCACTACTTATGTAAATTAATGATGTAACACATTTAATTTGAAAAATAAGAGGGGGCATTTTATTATTATGTTTATTGGGATTAATTAATTTTTTGGGTCTAAAAAAGAACAAAAATGCAGCAGTTATACCATTACACGTTCTACATTGGAAATTGCAGCAACTATATCACTATACATTCTGCAATTATTAAATTATTTTTTGAAAAAAGATTTTTTAATATTCATTTTCTAAAATAATCAGTATATGGATAGTTTCTGAGAAGTGATTAGTTGTTATCTAAGTGACGTGATCTTTAGCTTTTCCATGACAAGAGCACCATCTTCAATGCAAATATAATTAAACCCTGCAATATTCTATAAATTTTCAAATTGGTGTGTTATTATTTTCACTCTTTAGAGAATCTCGAAAACCAAGCTCCATAATTAAACATTAATTCTTCACACAAAAACTGGCGGTGGAGACGTGATTTTCATTGACAAGGTGAGCGGTGACTTATTGTTTGAAGAAGCTTAAGCGGGAAATTATTATACCTATTAGTAATATTTATAAAACTGAAAAAAAGATATGTATAAAATAAATTTAATTTTAATAAAAAATTATTATTTAAACGAAAAAATATTTAAAATTATAAAAATATACTTTAAAATAAAGTAAATTAAAATTTTAACTTAAAATAATGATACAAAAAGGAAAAAAAATTCGTACACGAAACTTTTTAGAAAATACTTAAGATAAATATTTTAAATGTATATATATATATAATATAAATTAAAAGAGAAAAAAATTATTTTTTAAAAGTATGTATAATTAATTCTATTATCATGTTGAATTTTAAATTTTAAAATTAAATATATTATAAAGAAATCAAACTTTCATTCTTTTGATATAAGAGTGTAATTAACACAATTTCCTATGTCGTGAATAATTACCTAGAAGCTATTACTTGGAGATTGGAAAATGTGCACAGACTTCTATGCATGTTTCACTTTATTTTTTGCATAGAAAATTGTTAAGTTTATTAATTTATTATTATGTCTATTGGGAGAGAAAATATTTAATACTTAAAATTTAAACTTTCTAAATTTGAATTTTGTTCTTGAGAGGTGACAAACGATTCAGTATTTAATATTGTCCACTACTTTCTGCATGGAAAATTATTAAGCATATTAATTATAGTTATTATTATGTCTATTGGTCTTAATTATTATACCTATTAGAATTAATTATAAAACTGGAAAAAAGATATGTATAAAATAAATTTAATTTTAATAAAAAATTATTAATTAAACAAAAAATATTTAAAATTATAAAAATATACTTTAAAATAAAGTAAATTAAAATCTGAACTAAAAATAATGACACAAAAAGGAAAAAAAATTCGTACAAGAAACTTTTTAAAAAGTACTTAAGATAAATATTTTAAATGTATATATATATATATATATATATATATATATATATATATATATATATATATATATCTATATTTATATAATATAAATTAAAAGAGAAAAAAATTATTTTTTCAAACGTATGAATAATTAATTCAATTATCATGTTGAATTTTAAATTTTAAATTTTTTTTTTTTTTTGTACAAGTAAGGAAAATAAACAACCAAAGAAAACAAACTACCTACTACCTTGGGCACAGTTCGCCCTACAATCTTCCAACAAAAGATCTAAACAACCCTCAGGGGGTTCACTAAGCCAAACAATACTCCAGTCCACTTGCGAAGCCTGGCGAGCTAGCCAATCCGCCACTCTATTGCATTCTCTATTCACATGATCAACCCTCACCATCCAACTCTTCTCCAGCATCTCTCTTATCCTAAGCATGAGCAGATGGCAAGGGTGCGAATCCACACATCCTTGAGTAATCAACTCACACGCATCCATGGAATCTGTTTCCACCATCACTCGTTGGTAGCCTTTTACCCAAGTCCATTCCAAGCCAATTAATATACCCCATAGTTTAGCCATCAGAATATTACCACACCCAAGTCCTTTTGAAAAACCAGCAATCCAATCCCCATTACAACTTCGGATGACACCACCACAGCTGAGACGTGTTCCTTTTACAGAGCAAGCTCCATCCGAATTAAGCTTTATCCAGGTAGTTGGAGGTGCTTCCCAATGGGGCTTCCTCACACTCCTACTGTCAACCATCAAACCAGCTTTACAGAACATTTTTTCAGCCACTAATACATTATGCATAAACATCATAGCATGTCTCACAACTTCTATAGGAGTTTCCCATTCATCATTAAAAACTCCATTGTTTCTTTCCTTCCATATCAGCCAACAGACAACCCCAAACAGCCTCCTCCAGTCCTTATTTTCCTTCTTCCTATTCAGATTTCTTTCAATCCAGCTTACAAAATCACCTTCCCAGAAACCGTTTAGCACCAACCCGTGACAGCATAACTGCCAAATCTGGCAAGCCCAACTGCACTCTCTAAAAATATGATTACAATCTTCCACATCAGCCTGCCATCTCATGCAGGTAGCATCTTCACCAAGATGCCTCCTTACTCTTTGATCATTAGATAGCAGATTCTCCCCCATAAGGAGCCAAAGGAAAGCTCTTATACGCTGAGGCCCCTCCCAATCCCAAGCCAGACACCAGTTCCTACTGTCATCATAATCAAACTGCCTACTTAAAGAAATATATGCAGTCTTGATCGAAAAAATACCTGTGCTAGATAAATTCCAGACCACCTTATCAGTTCCAGCACCCTCAGATGGAGGCATCACCTTTGCAATAGCATCAACAGCCTCATTACTCAGAAAGCTGTTGAACTTAGACCACTGCCAGCCACCATCTGGATCAGCACAATCACACACCCACCAGCTGCTTGCTTCCTCCGGAATGGGTTTAATAATTCTGTCTATAAGTCTTCCAAATCCAGGAACCCATTAATTAAACAAAAAATATTTAAAATTATAAAAATATACTTTAAAATAAAGTAAATTAAAATCTGAACTAAAAATAATGATACAAAAAGGGAAAAAAATTCGTACAAGAAACTTTTTAAAAAATACTTAAGATAAATATTTTAAATGTATATATTTTTATATATATATATATATATATATCTATATTTATATAATATAAATTAAAAGAGAAAAAAATTATTTTTTCAAACGTATGAATAATTAATTCAATTATCATGTTGAATTTTAAATTTTAAAATTAAATATATTAGAAAGAAATCAAACTTTCATTTTTTGATGTAAGAGTGTAATTAACACAATTTTCTATGTCGTCCTAGAAGCTATTACTTGGAGATTGGAAAATGTGCACATACTTCTATGCATGTTTTCCTTTATTTTTTGTATAGAAAATTGTTAAGTGTATTAATTTATTATTATGTCTACTGGGAGGGAAAATATTTATTACTTAAAATTTAAACTTTCTAAATTTGAATTTTGAACTTGAGATGTGAGAAAAGATTCAGCATTTAATATTGTCCACTACTTTCTGCATGGAAAATTATTAAGCATATTTTTTTTTTTTGATAACAATTATTAAGCATATTAATGATAGTTATTATTATGTCTATTGGTCTTAATTATTATATCTATTAGAATTAATTATAAAACTGGAAAAAAGATATGTATAAAATAAATTTAATTTTAATAAAAAATTATTAATTAAACAAAAAGAATATTTAAAATTATAAAAATATACTTTAAATTAAAGTAAATTAAAATCTTAACTTAAAATAATCATGTAGTTTCAGCTTTGTGTTCACAATTGCATGTCAATTTAAAAACAAATTACATAATAAATTTTTAATTAAATCGAAAATCGAAATTAAGAAATTAGTGGGAGACATCTAATTAATGACCCACTATCATTTTTACATTGAAACTGTAAGGTTTTTAATTGTTATATTGGAAGATGGAAGGTTCTTTATTAATGTTACTTGAAAATGGAAAACTAATCATTTGATATTTTCTTATAACCTTCAAACTATTCAGACGCTTAATCTTCTGCCACCTGTGTGTTCTCACGTGCTTGTCAATTTTGAAAATAAATAAATAACTAAAAATTAAGTTTTAAGTAAATTAAATATCAAAATTAAAGTATTAGTGGCAAACATCAAATTAATGTCCCACTATCATTTTTACATTGGAATTGTAATATTTTTAATTTTTCTGTTGGAAGTTGAAAGGTGCATTACCAATGTTATTTGAAAATGAAAAATCCATCATTTCATGGAGAATATACACAAGCTTCTATGCATATTTCCCACTACTTTTAGTATGAAAAATTATTAAATCTATTAATAATATTTATTATTATGTCTACAGGGGGAGAAAATATTTAATATTTCAAAATTCAAACTTTTTAAATTTGAATTTTTAACTTAATAGGTGGAAAAAGAATTCCGCATTAATGTTTCTGTAGTGAAAATATATATATAGTAAAATTAAATTTAATATGTTAAATTATAGATTAAACAAAAAATTAATTAAAATTTATAAAAAAAATTTGTATAGTTGATAAAAAATAATTTAAATTTGAAATTTAAATGAAAAAAATTAGAAATGACATATTTATACCTTAAATAAATTAAAACTTTTTTTTGGTACAAAAATAAATTAAAATTTTACTAAATCGAAATACAAAAATTGAAAAATATTTCCACACAGGTATTTTTTTAACATAAATGTTTTAAATATATATGTATAACCAATATTAAAAAGTATAGAAATTATAAATTAAAAGAGAAAAAATTTATATTTTTCAAAAATATGTCTAATTAATATAAAATTCAATTCAATTCCCCAAACATTCGATATACTAGAATACTGTTTGTATCAACTGATGTTTGTTCATCATATTTGTGTTACAAATATAAAAAAAAATATGCACAATGAAAATAAAAGAATTTAAACCAAAAATAAAAAATGAAATTTATCGTTCTGTAAAAAAAGAAAAATAAAAGTTAATCACTATAACAATACGATTTTTAATTTAATATATAAGAAAGAACACAATTTATTATATTGTAAATGAAAACTAGAATGTTTTTTTTTGGTAAAATGAAAAACTAGAAATTATTACTTGGAGATTGTGCACATCCTTCTATGCATTTTTTCCGCTACTTTCTATATAGAAAATTATTAAACCTATTAATAATATTAATTATTATGTTTATTGGGTGAAAATTATTTAACATTTAAAATTTTAATTTTTTAAATTTGAATTTTGAATTTAATAAGTGAAAAAAGAGTTCAGCATTTAATGTTTCTGTAATGGGAAAAAGAGATATATATATATATATATATATATATATATATATATATATATATATATATATATATATATATATATATATAGGGCATGATCCTTTGAAACCGGTGTCAAATTTGAAATTTGACACCTCATCTGAGAGCCGTTAGATCAAAAAAGATCAACGACTCTAATTCCTAAGCATGTGACGCCATTGATCTTTTTTGATCTAACGGCTCTCAGATGAGGTGTCAAGTTTCAAATTTGACAATGGTGTCAAAGGATCATTCCTCATATATATATATATATATATATATATATATATATATATATATATATATATATATAAAAATTTGAATTTTAATATAAAATTATAGATTAAACAAAAAATATAAGGAAGCTGATAGTTAAAGGTTGCATACTGAGCTTGGCACAGAGGGTCTGCCTGCCCCGCCTGCCAACACGTTTTTATAATTAAATTAAAATTTTATTATTCTTTTTTTATAATTAAATTCCTAATTCAGATTTCAATTTTTGTAAATACAAATTTATAAAATTCTAAATAATAACGACACAAATCCTTGCAAAAAATAATTATTTATTATTATTTTGTAAATCTAATTGTAATATATAAAATTTCATCACTGAGATAAAATATAAAAATCTAGACGCAACTATAAGAGCCTTTTTGTAGATAAATATAAAAACCTATTACATCCTAATAGTTAGATGTGGCAAACTGAGCTCGCCCGGAGGGCCGGCCCACCAACACATTTTTATAATTAAATTGAAATTTTATCCTTCTTCTATATTAATTAAATTCGTAAATCTTATTTTGATTTTTGTAAATACAAATTTGCAAAATTTCAAATAGAAACGACACAAATCCTTGCAACAAATTTTTTTACTATTATATTTAAAATATGATTATAATAAATGAAAGTCCATCTTAGAGATAAAATATAAAAACCTAAATGTGACGATAAGAACCTTTTTGTGGATAAATATAAAAATCTATTGCATGCTAATAGTTAGAGGTGGCAAACTGGGCTCTGCCCGAGGGCCGAGCCCACCAACACTTTTTTATAATTAAAATAAAATTTCATCATTCTTCTTTTATAATTATTCCTAAATCTGATTTTAAATTTTGTAAATACAAATTTGTAAAATTCAAAATACTAATGACATAAATCCTTTCAAAAAAATAATTATTTACATAAAATGCTGATAGTTAAATGTTGTAAACTGGGCTTGGCCCAGAGGGTCTGCCCGCCCCGCCTGCTAACACGTTGTAATAATTAAATTAAAATTTTACTATTCTTCTTTTATAATTAAATTCCTAATTCATATTTCAATTTTTGTAAATACTAATTTATAAAATTTCAAATACTAACGACAAAAATCCTTGCAAAAAAATATTTATTATTATTTTGTAAATCTAATTGTAATAAATGAAAGTTCATCACTGAGATAAAATATAAAAACCTAGACGTAATTATAAGAGCTTTTTTTTTAGGATAGATATAAAAACCTTTTACATGCTAATAGTTAGAGGTGGCAAACTGGGCTCGGCTCTCCAACATATTTTTATAATTAAATTAAAATTTCACTATTCTTTTTTTATAATTAAAATTTCACTATTCTTTTTTCCGGTGCATCGCACGAGTTATACTTAAATTTGAAGGAACTTTTTATGTAGGGTGCTGATTTGGAATATTATTTAAGAAAACTTAACGTTCTTAATGAAAAATCCATATTATTTAAGGTCAACGTAAAAAAAAACAATTTGGAGTCATATAATGAGCAAAGATATCATGTTTCAAGTGTTTGAAGCAGCGAAACTATTGTCACCTTATTGTTAAAGTCTTTGGTGGACCCGAACGTATGTTGTTGTTTTTTAAAAATTTATCATCGTGGGTTCTTTATATTGTTACAAGTTTTTAGCATGTGTATTGATTTGATGTTGTTTAGACACATTTGCTCCAATGTAAGCAAAAAATATGACTCATACATGACCATTTGATTAATTTGCTTTCAAATCCCTTTCAAACAACGTTTTTTTGGTTCTAAAAAAATAACCCATTTTTTTTTGCTGAGACTATTACTTCTGGGTGTTAACATATTAGCGTAATTTATTTAATGAACATTTGCATTTTGTATCGTAGGCATAAATATGATGGTAGAAGAAGATGTTCCTGGTAATGCATAAACATAGAAGATCACATGTTCGGTATGTGTTGAACTCATCCCTCCAATGATTGCTACAGAATGATACTGAATTAATATCGTTTTCTTATTATAGGTACAAGCTGATCTTTTAGTTCCATATTTGCTTAGTCTGTTTGTTACCTTGATTTTATTAGCGGCTGTTATAGTTAGCAATAAGTTGTATGCATTTTTCTCTTTTTAGCCATCCTTATTTTAACTTGGTCAACTCTGGTGTATTTATTTTTTCATAACTCAATCGAGTAGATAACTATATTTGATTTGCATAATATTGATCACTCTGGATAGCAGATTTTTGTTTATGATTGATATTTGTAAAATTATGTGTCAATGCTGTAGTTTTTTCCACCTGAAATATAAAACAAGATAGCATCACGGGTTTTTGTAAGAATAAGGTTTGCAGTGCGATTAACCAACCACGCGGACGACAATATTTTGTTCTTTTTCCCGTGGCATCACACGGTTAATTCACTAGTTGGATTAAAAGGTAAACCTAAACCGCAAAAATATCTCTAGCTAGGAACCTAATGGGCACACGATGATATGAGACAGGGAAACAAAAAAAAACAAATAAAACTTACTGTGAATCTGTGATAATGGCTAATAGCGTGGAAGGCGCGATGAGGAAGGAGGGTGCGAGGTGGCTATGCGGTGCTGTGATGCGGCGGCACCCGGTGACCGGGTTTGATGGGGGTTCAATCAATGGCACACACACTCTTATTGTATTGGTTTTTTTTTTTTGGATTTTGAAGGTTTTTAAGTTACCAAAAGTATGGGGTTTCTCTCCTATTTTTCCTCCTACGTGTTTTTAGATTTTTTTTTTTTTTTTAAGAGTAACAGAAGCCAAAAAAAATCCAAGTCCCCCTTTGTTCTGCGTTTCTCATTTTTATAGAGGAAGAAAAAAAAAGAGCTTTCTTCAGCATACCAATTTTGTTCTCTCCTCTTATTTTTGTTCCATGCTCTTCTATTCTCACAAGTAAATATGGTGTCTTGTAACATTAATCAAACAAGTGTTTTAAAAATTGGCTCGGACTGGTCGGGTCGACTCCGATCTTAGTGATCCGGTGGGTTTCCCAATTCGACCGATCATTTGGACTAGTTCTACAGTCAATTTGGTTTGGACTGGTTGATCCGGCCGAGGTAACTCGATTAGACTAGTTGACTCTCTTTTTTTGGTTCCTGAGCACTCTTGAATTAAATTATGCTCGTATTTTGTTTAAATATGATTAATAAGTAAGTTGAAAATAAGAAGATATTTTGGATTAGTGCAGTTCGTTTGGGATAAACACTGATTGTCTCATCTTAACGGTGGACACTCTCTTTAGTGTATATTTTATGCCTATCATTTGTTATCATGATTTAGTTTACCTATATTATGTCAAGCACAAAATGTGCATTTAGCTTGGCAATTTTAATCCAATGTTATAATATGGTCTAGAGCTATAAACCTAAAAGTATATAAGTTTTGCTATCGTTGAGAACTAATTTATTTTTTGAAGCTCATTGATAAATTTTTTATGTGAATTTCTAATATAAGTAATATGTTTATATTTTTAATATGTGAATAGTAAATTCGATTGAAGCAATGCTCCAGTGACCCAGTACCTCGACCGAGTCGATGACCGATCTGAATTTTAAAACACTGAACCAAACCCCTTGCTACTTCAATGATAAGATTTTTTTTAATTGTTGTTTTATTTTAAATTTATATCTCCTGAACAAAATATGATGTTTACAATTCCCATGAGGAGGATTGAAGTTTTTCTCCATTGTTTAGCATAGTTTTTCATTTGTATATATGATATTGGCCTGTATATATTTTATTCTCTTCATTATGTATGATGTTATTTTTTCATCGATGTTAAACTAGTTGTATACTGCCTGTTCTGTGTACTGCTGCTTTATCAGGTACCCCATGAACCATTTGTTTGAATAAAATTGTTTTGAAAATAAATACTTTTTAAAAAATTTAAATTTTTTGTTTTCGATGGAAAGTAAATTCCATCAGAAAAAATAACGCAAAATTTAGCTTTCAACCAAATGAAATTCCTTATTTGTTTCAACGGATTTTTTTTTTTTTGACAGAATTTGCAGCTAAATTCCGTTAAAAATTGTGACTCAGATTTTTTGACAAAACATACTAAAAATTAATTGTATTTAGTTGAAATTTTTTACGAAAATTTATTAAAAAAATAGTATTTTTCTTAAGGAAGGTTATACTTACAACTTTTTTTTTACAACTTTTTTTTTTACAACCTCTTACAACCATATCTTAACACCGTTGATTTCCGTCAATCAACGGTTATCATTTATTGTGAATTAATAATTATTTAATGAGTTTAATTTGCGAAAATGATAACCGTTGATTGACGAAAATCAACAGTGTTAAGATATAGTTGTAAGAGGTTGTAAAAAAAAAGTTGTAAATATAAACTTTCTCATTTTTTTTCCCTTTTTTGACAAATTATTTTCTGTTGATACCTTCGACGGATTTTTGTTTTTTTTGTTTTTTATACATCCAATTTCCGTTGAAATGTGTGTTTTGACGTACAAAAATGAAACGGTGTTAATCCCGTTGAAATTATTCCTTCTAAAATAAGCCATTTCTAGTAGTGAACTAAGTTTTATTCAAGATTACAACATTAACTGAAAATAATATGTTAATCGTCCGTTATTTTACACATTCTTTATGTTCCTACATTTTACATATTCAGTCAAACATAGCAATATTAATACTTCAAATCATAAGCAACACAACTTTAGCGGCAAGCTAGACTTTTAATAGTGCTAGGACTCTATGAAACTCTAGTCTATTAATTATTATTTTCAACAGCATATTTCTCTTTAATTGTGACAGGAATGGGTTGCATAATCAATGATAGCATGCAACTCTTGATGTCATGATCTGGTAGTGTATACCCATCTCCATATTGGTAAAAGCACAGTGACATTCTTGCAACATCTATAGCAGTATCTATGAAACTCTGAGAGAAAGAAGAATTGCGAGCTTCTTCATTCATCTTCTTCCATGTTGTACGTATCATGCCCTTTATGTACTCACGAGAGTCTGCTTCAGAAGCACCAGTTTCTTCCATGTGGCATTGAATTGATTTAGTAACATCACCTGTATCCACCTCACGCTAAAAATAAAAGAGCTAAATTGTTAAAGTATAATATAAATCATTAAAGGTTGGTGGATCTATTTATTGTCCACTCTTCAAGTCCAGTGAACTTTTGTATGAAATGACGTGTTAAAGTATAATATAAATCATTAAAAAGTTCTCACCCACTATCTTAAGCTTTTAGATTAAATTGGTTTTAAGAGGAAATAAAATAAAAAAGGTATATGGATTGAATTCAATTTTTTTTTTTCTTTTTTGGTAAAGAATAGGAAATGGATTGTTATGGTACCTTGCATGTTCCAAGGTCATTCGCAAGGCGAAAAATAATTGCCGAAAGGCGAATTATATTGGGATATTCTTCTAAGAAAACTAAATCCTCCTTTCCTAATGGACGTGGAATCAAGAAGTAAGCATGCACCAGTACAACAGGTCCACTTATGGTTATCCACGCATTCTCAATGTATTCTTGTAGTCTTGGCGTATATCCACTATAGTACCATTTAGCCTCAACCAAATACGATTTGCATAAATCAGCCCACTACAAAGTTATGATAAAATGAGTAAGAGATATATATCGTAATTAATTAAGGGTTTAATGTTGTGGGAGATATAATTATTTTCTACGTATAGATAAAAATGTATGGGATTCATGTGAGGAGAAGAAAGAAAAAAAACACATGAATCCACACTTTTATGTGTGTATAGAAAATAACTAATATGATAAACACTAAATCCATTAATTAATATAATATATGAAAACTCATAAAAAAAATAGATAATACAGATAAAACAAACATGAGAATAATTTTATTTTCCTTTGAAAATATATCATTTGTCAATTTAGTCATTAAAACTTAGATTTTTTTTTGCAAGGGCAGCTAAACTCTCTCTACCAAAATTTTAATATAGTTATGTATTGAGAACTCAAATTCAATATCACTAATTAAGCTAAAACAACCTCATACCAGTTGATTCACGTGCTTGTGGCTAATTAAAATATTTAATTTTCCATCTATGCATCTATTATTAACTTGAAAAGCTTTTGTATAAAGGTTAAAATATGAAATGACATATATTGCACACTCAATCAGGCCAAAACCATTTTGCTTTACCAATCTTGTACACTAGTTGGGGTTTATATATGAATGTAATATTCCACCTTAAGATATTTATATTTCTTTTATAGGTATGTTGTGAATCAACTTATTAAAACTCAAATAAATGGAGGGATGAAAAATTAAAAATTTTAAGAAATGGATTGACAAAATTATATATCAAAAGAACTAAATTGTTTACAAATATGTTTTTCAGAGTCAAAACAAAATTTTACTCCAAGAACAAAACAAATAATTGCATACCGCTTTCTTTAGGTATGGAATAATGTTGTATCTATTCTCTTTTAGGGTGGCATAAGCTATTTCATTGACGGAGTTATAGAGTGCAAGGAAGCATATTTTCATGTAGTGTGGTAGACCATCCATAGCATTTAGATCCCATCTAGAATCACAAACAAATTGATAATAACCAATCGTTAGAGGAGAGGAAAATTTGCAAAAAGAGGTCGACGGAAAATAGAACAGAGAAGTAATAATATTAACCTGTCTATTGCTTCTGTGAAGAGCTCTAATTCTTCCAAGGTGCCATGTACATCATAAATATCATCAATGGTGGTTATAAGGGAAATGACCTTTGTTAATTCTTTTCTGAAATTTCCGAGATCTGGTTTAAAATTGAATCCCACGGCCCAATAGAAATTCTCCACAAACCTGTTCCTAACAAAACTCAACTCTTCTACTAAGCCAGTTCCTTTCCACCATCTAAAACCGAGAGAAAATTTCAAGTATTAGCACAAAGCATGTTATTCATCAAGATATGTTTTAAAAAATCGAAAGGAGAATAATTAACCCAGCCTTAAAATGAAACTATTGTTGGGTTTTTCCTCCTTCAACGCACAAGGCCCAATGTTGATGGAACTTGGGGTTCAAGTTTGTCATGGAACTTGGGGCTCAAGTAACCCTAAACCTTCTTCTTCCCTATATAAGCATTAGTTGTGGGATGGAGGTAAGGTTAGCTTGAGAGACATTTTTGTGAGACTATTTTGAGAGCACCTCTAGGGGAGAAGCTTGAAAGTTAGACCTCGTTAGGAAAGTTTTAGAGAAAACCATCATTGTAGGTGAGGTTTGAGTGTACTATCATTATTGGTAATGTTTGATTCTTGTAACCCATTATTTCATAGTGAAAGTTTGATTATGGACTAGTATCTCGTGTGTTTTTACTTTTTCACATTTGAAAAGATTTTTCCATGTTAAAATCTGTTTGTTTTCATTTTTTTCTCTCTCCTTTACAATTTTTGTTTCTGCTGCGCATAGGTTAGCCTGGTAAGTTCAGACCAACCTCTCTGTGATAACCGAGCTCACAAAGGCTTGTTAGCCGAGATTGAGGGACCGAGTTCGTCCCAACAACTATATGTTACTCAATATGATGGTATCTTAATATATTTATCAATCTTGTATGAGTGTCATCATCACCTTGATGTATACTTGAGTTCTTCTTGGTAGATGCTTTGAACCATGTTGAAATCCAATTTAGCAAACTGAAGTAAAGCGTGTTTCTCATTTTGCCTTCTCTCTTCTAAAAAATTAATGAACCACAAAGCCTCCAATCTTGGCACCCTCCAATGCAACGGAAACTCCAAAGCATGACTGATTAGGAGTGATGTACCATTACCTCTATTCTTCTCCACATATTCTTCGAGAAATTTTGATGTGAAATCTCTTGCTTCATCGAGTATAAGTTCGTCTTCCACTGAATGAAACGAGGCTTCATACAGTGACAGCAATCCCTCGACATCAACAGAGAGGCATTTTTTGAAATTACCCATTTCATCTTGAAAGCCACCAAAAACATCTGCAAAACCATTTTTTTTTTTATGCATAAAAAGTTAAACAGTAGTTATGCGACAATCTCAATCGGTCAATATTAATGTTTCATAGTAAAATCTGAAAGTGTATCAAGTCCTATAAAATTCAATACCTGTTGATAGATTATATCCATGTTGCCTTAACAGTCTGAAAGCAAGGGCCGTGGCATATAAATTATTCTTCCTCTTTAACATGTCCATATTGCTGTGTACATTTTCCAGTATACTCCTTATTTCATTGGTAAAATGATAAGCAACACCAAGCCTTTGCAAGACATCAATCATCTCAAGTTGTTCAGCATGATCTTCCACTTGGCAAAGCATCACCCTGATTTCTTCCTTTAGCACTCTGCTTTGCTTTGTGTATTTTTCTTCCTACAATAATTTAACTATAATGTGTTAGCTTCAGTATTTTTCAGAGTATGTTATAAACCTATAGGACTTGGATATTGCATGGACTTTTGATTGATAAATATGGGATTAAAAACCAAGAGGAAGGAAACATACCTTATATTCACTACTCAATGATTGGATATAATCATAATGCCAAATTGAAGGTTGGAAGTTTGCAGATCGACGAACAGTTTGAGTATGGCTAGAAACATCAGATAACGCCATGCATTGGATTGGACAAGGGACATTAAAGTTCTTGGTTACTAGGGATGATGTTTTTCTTTCTAGAGGAACCATTTTACCAAAACTGATGGAGTGTAAAGGAAGTTGACGAGCGGCCATTCGTTTGAAATGTATTCGAGATTAATATACTGCAAAATTTGTTAGGTTTCCTTAGATTTTGTGCTGCATATTGGAGGCAAATTAAAGCCTTTATATAGGAAAAAAAAAATTACGTAGACAAGATAATGATTTACACATTTAATGTTCACCACTCTATTATAAATTTATAACTAACTATGGTTAGCTATGCGTATTTATTTTATTTTATTTCTTTTTAAAAAAATCTTTTCGATTTTTTAAAAAGTCTAAAATTTGTATAATAATTATTGTGAAAATAACATATCTTTTGTATATATTGACTTTGTATAATTTGTATGATGATCATTGTGCAAGCTAGAAGTATCAGTAAACGATAATCTAATTTTCAATATAGTACCAAAAAAAGTTGAATTATCATCTTTTACCTCTAACAAAAAATTTACGATGTAATTGCCTGAGATACGGAGTAACCCAAATTTTCATCATACAGATGAGCTATTGTACAACAATAACCCATGCAATAGAAGCACAACCCACTTTTTCTAACATAGATCAAGCATAATCCACTTTCTCCAACATAATGAAATTGACAAATGACAACATTGTTTACAAAAGCATAAAAGCATTGTCATCGGCAAGGAAGCACGGACACTTGTAAAAATAGGAAGAGTCGGGTCCGACACGCTCCGACACGGTGTCGGACACGCGGTTGACTTTTTCCGACACGTTGACCATTCCGACACGCGAATTTGACCGTGTCCGATACGGTCAAATGGCATTTTCGTAATTTTTTTAAAATTTTTTAAATTTTTTTTTTTAAAAGTTAAAATATATTAATAAAGCTTTCACCTGATCATATTAATTTTATATTTTTGTCTTTTTTCCCCTTAAGTAAATAAGAGATCATCTCAGCATTATTGTTGTTGATTCCTATCACGCTCTTGTTGTATCTTCTTCTCTCTAATCTCTCTCTAATATGATTTGATCTCTCTATCTGATATTATATCTCTTTCTCTCATCCCAGTTCTTATTTTTTTATTAAAGCTTCCATCTTTATAACGTGTTGATGGGTATTATTAATTTAGTTTCTTTTTTTGTTAAATTATTAAATATTAAATGAAATATACACTATATAAATTAAAAATATTATTTAATATTAAAACGTGTCCCAACGTGTCGAAGTCCATAATTTTTTAGAATTGACGTGTCGGAGTGTCGTGTCACGTGTCGCGTGTCGTATCGGTGCTACATAGGTCATCGGATATTAGGCATTAAGGTAGATTTCTGATGAGTTAGTGAGTCTTGGGTTTAGAATTTTGTTATATGATTTTTGAGTTATGATTGGGGAATAGGCCGAAGTAGGTAAATGATAAGGTTGAGGAATAATTGGATTGATTTGGATTGGATCGATTTTCTCCAATCAAAGTGAAAACTGGTCCAATTCAATTAAATTTTGTGGGTTTTTTTTTCAGTTTTCAATTTTTTGATTTTCAATTAATTTAATTTTCAATTTTTTGATTCGATAACCGTGCGATTTGAATCGATAGATCAACTCCCCTAATCAAATCTGAAACGAGAACTATAAATCGGTCACATTTGTCACATGTATTAAGTATTACAGCGCACGATAAACCCACATCATAATTCATGTGGCTGTAGGCTACAGCCACATGAATCTGTAGGCCCTGCGTAGTGATATCCACACAAATGGAAAGACGGGTACCGAATATTAGGCCCTGCGTAGTGATATCCACACAAATAAAAGGACGGGTACCGACTATTCTCCACAAATAATTCATACGGTCAGTTATATATATATATATATATATATATATATATATATATATATATATATATATAAAATATCATTATCTCATGTTAAATAAAAAAAACAATTGTACTAAAAAAATGAGAAAAACAATTCCCTTTATAAAAACTGATATTTTATAATAAATTTTGGAACTCATTTTTCATGCTACAGGAGAATAACTATCTAAAAACATCACAAATGAAATCTACAAATAAGAGGAAAAATAAATAAATATAAGACTCGTTTCTGTTTTGTGTCTGGTGGAAGTTGATTTATATCCTATTAATGAGAGAAGTATAACCAAATAAACATATAAATTAGTAGTTTAAAATAAAATAGCTTGTTATAAAAAAAATAAAAATAAAATAGCTTACATGGAAGTGAAAAAAAAAAAATGATCTATATTATATTCGAAGATGTCCTCCTCATTAATTCTATTATTGTTGCCTTCTGTTTCTTCCTCTTCTTTGACAGCTTCTCTGAAATGGGAATTTTTCCATTTTCTCCAATTCCTTTTATACTCCAGATCGGTGGGAGAGAATATTCTCTGAAATGAGAGACGGCAATCCCAGGAGTGAAACTGGGCCGGGCCAAACTCAAGAATAGGGGTGAAATTGGGCCGGGCCGGCCTACAGATGCCTACGGCTCGGCCTACATCAGGTCAGATCTGACCTAGTATATTTTGTATAATAGGTCGGGCTTGGGTCTTAAAAAAGACTGTTTAATAAAAAGGTCGTGGGCCCACTTTCAAAAGGTCGGCCTGTATTATACTATTTATTTTAAATAAAATAAAATAGAGTAAGTATGCCGTGAAGGAAAAACAAAAGATATAAATTTAATCAATTACAATTATTTATAACTTAATTATATTCGATTATATTTTAATAGAAATCTTACTTTATTTCTTATATAGGAGGAATCAACATCTCAACATGTTAGATTGTGTATATTAATATATTAAAAGAATTTTGAGAAATGTTATACTTACTACAAACATCATGATGTGTTTGTTTGATTCATGTAGTTATTTTAATTTACATAGTATGGATTTGTTTGTTGGATCTGATGAAATATATGTTATTTAGTTTAAGCATTTTGCTTTTGAAAATGACTTAAATGCATATTGTATGAGTTTTGTTATGATTCATGATTCTGTTTGGACATTGAAATTATGATTTTTGGTGTAGCAACATAATTTTAGTACTTCGTAAAGTTGATTCATGATTATGCTTGAAAGTTAAAAATTAACAGGCTAACGGGCCAAACCAAGCCATTTGTTTTTTTATAAACGAGTCAAGTCAGGCTAACAGTTAGACTCATACTAGGCTTGGGCCAGGCCAAATTAAAAAATTTTGGCGTAGGCTTGGGCTTTTCAGGGTAAAGCTTAGCCCAACCCATTTTCACCCCTACAAGAAGATTTTGTTTTTCTTTCATGTTGTCTTATGTAACACCGATATCGACATGGGACATGTGACATGATACAACACGACATTCTGACATGTTAATTCTAAAAAATATTAGATTTTGACACGTTAGGACACGTTTTGATATTGAATAATATTTTTAATTTATGTTGCGTATATTATATTTAATATTTAATAATTTAACAAAAAAAATAAAGCTAAACTTATACCCATTAATTTTGCAAAGAAACATAAAATGTCACAAATATTTATATTAAATTCAATAAAATTGTAGGGATATGATCTGTTTACAAACTTTTTTTGCAAATTACACTAAGTACGACCGATCGTACACTGCATGATTAAAGTATGACCGATCGTACTTAGTGTAGTTTGTAAACAAAAAAGTTTGTAAATATAACTTGCCCCAAAATGGTAATAGTAATCCAACGAATCTAATAGTTAGAACTAAAAATGCAACGCAATGCAACCTTTGAACTTTTTTTTTGAGTTTCTATAACGTGCGTTGAAGTGTCGGGGAGTGTCGGAGAATGTCGAAAAGTGTCGGACACGACACGTAGGGATTTTTGAAGTGTCGGTGCTTCATACATTTGTCCTCCTGGTCTAGGTCCTATTCTGGACTCTATGTTTTCTTCCCTGTAGGTTTTTGTTTTGTTTTGAGCTTTGTCACTCCTCCTTTGTACTAAAATAAAAAAGAAATTAAACACAACACGCTAAACTACACACGCCCCACACCACTAGGCTAACCCTAGTGGTGCAGGGAGAGACAAGTTGTTAGTTGTGAATTGTGGATGTTTTAACATTGCATTTTTAGTACTATTGGGCTGTTAATGATTGAAATTGCAGGTGAACTGGCCCAAAAACGTAAGAGTTTGGCCCACTATGGTATCTGTTTAATAGAATGGCAAATTTATAAATTTTACTTACAATTTTTGCAACGTCTTCACAGGAAAAAGGTCCATGTGGACAATTTGTTAGATGAGAAGAGTTTTGGATGATGGACAACATTAAAAACAAACTTGAACTTTGTTTTTAGTTAGGAACTTTAGGAGTTAGTTTTTATCAGTTTTTAGAATTAAGAATAATTTGTTAATTCTTGTTAATTGTGTGCTTTAGAATTAAGAATAATTTGAAGTGAAGGAAAAGATTTTACACGAAACGAATTGGGTTTGATTTCTGGGAACGGAATTGAATCTGATTAAATCTAGGTTTGGAAAATCCCAGAATACGCTGTAGCACTCAACCTTCGTCAAGAATACTGTTGCAACAAGTTAAGTGCAGAAATGCAAAAGAAAAGATCTAGGTTCCAGAGGTTGTTTACAATTGTCAATAGTTGTGTTAGTGATTAATTTCAACTTTTCAAATCAATACTGAATTTAGATGGTTAGTAATTGAATTTCAATTGATAGTTAGATTACTTAGGTGTCAAGAAATCAATTTAGAATGAGGAAAATAAATCAATTATAATGTTCCTTGTGGGAACGATCACTATCATCTTGATAGATATACTCTTAATTCGTAGTTGTTAGTTTTTGGAACTCACTATAACCATTTTTTGGAATGACTGCTCACACACTTTCATGTCGTTCATCTTCACTAAATTTGATCGAGTTAGTTGGTAAGAGTCATTGATAGTTGTGGTTTTTGCCATGGTGGGAAGGGGAATGTTTATAACCATGGGAGGTGAGTCCAAGAATGAAAGCACCAATGCAGCTGTAGAAATTAAAAGGAGGGATATATTAGAAAGGGAAAATTAGAAGAAAGGGAGAATTAGAGGAGGAGGAAAAGATTTGAAGAGAGGGAGAAAGAAATCAGATTAGGAATAAGGGAGATAATATAAGATAGAAGAATAAGAGATAGAATTGAGAATGGAGAATTGAGAGGAAGACTGTTAGGGGGCGTTTGGTTTATGGTTTTGTAATATTCTCTTATGTATCTGACTTTGGGAAAGGAATACGTCCATGTTTGGTAGAGAGAATTGAAATATTTTCCCTACTTTCATTTTTGCATAACTAATCCGAAAGGCATGTAAAAAACGAAGCCACTGCACTGTTGAGAAAGACAACATGAAGGTGGTATTTTGTATTTAACTAGGTAAATGGCAAATAGGCAACCAGCATCAGACGAAAATACCCTCATGCTAAATAGTATTTGAAACCAGACACGGAGAGAGAAGGCAACACTGTTTACTATATAAGGGTTATTTCGTAATTTGAAGTTCTTTTCCCATCAATATTTTACTTCCAACCAAACATAGACTCAGTAAATTTAACCAAAATTTTCTAATCAAATTTCGGCCAACCAAACAATTTTTTTTCAACTTCCCTATCAAATTCATTTTCCCACCAAATTTTTAGTAATAGTATTTTTTTGATAAAATGTTTTTATCCTGAACCAAGCCCCTTATTGCTTAATTCATTCCGTAATCTTATGATCGGTGGGCTTTTTACTTATAGTCACCTACGTACATCTTTTAAGAGCTAAAGTAAACTACCGAATAATATAATTTGAAATAAACTAAACTAATCAAGATAAAGATAAACTAATTATTGTAACCAAAAAAAGATAAACTAAACATATATATAATTTTAATTCTTTATGGTAGTTGCTATCGAATTAAAGTCAGGATAGTGGAAAAACTTACCACTCCAATCTAATTTGTTGGGTATAATGCTTCTAATTTTAAATTTGTATTATAATATTGTAAAAATCCAATCTAATCAATTGAACCAATAACCCAACAGTTGAAACAGTGATTTATTGACCCCAATACCTAAATCGAAATCGAGTCAATGATCTGTGTTTAATAACATTACTGATAAGAAATGAATACAAATTATAATCAATAAATATTTGAAATTTTATCATAAATATTGGAATTAATGCAGAATCAGAATAATAATAATAATAATAATAATAATAATCTAGATGCAGCAAAATCAAATATAGATATCTATTCATGGCAAAAATTTGCCTCCTGAAAAGATGTTAATCAATATTATGCTTAGAATCCAAGCTTTTGGGATATCATGGAAAGCTGGAACCAAGCCATCTAACTTCCACCAAAGTTGAAGAATCTAATTTAACTAGTTATCAATAATGAGTCCACCTAGCTAGCATCTACTGATTCTGATTTGCACATCCACTCTCTCTCACACACACACATATACACATGAAAAGTACGCCAGATGACATTTTGGTTTTGCATGACACATGAAAATGGATCATGATCAATCAATCTCCCAAAGGGACAAGATTAGACCAACTAGTAAACAACCAATTAAGGGAAAGTAAATCAAAAGCATATTCATCCACCAACATAATCAAGATTCATCCAAAGGATAAAGGGTTTAAAAAGTGAGATTGTATATTGACTAATTCTATCACTAATATTATATATAAAAAAAAATTCATCAAACAGCTGGCCACATTTGCCTTAATAATTTGAAGTAAAAAATAAAATAAAATAAAATAAATGTTGTTGGGACTTGGTAACGTGAGGCAAAGTAGAAAATCCAACAAAACCTCCAATCCACCTCAGAGTTGAGGTAATCTTGCCGGGTTCCTGTTCCCATGGCTTAACACTCCACTCCATGCTTTGTCTAGATTTATAGCAGTGTTCCCTCTTTTCATGCTCACCTTTGCCACTTTTCTAATTAATCCTTCCTTGTTTTTGTACCCCCACCAAGTTCTGAATTACATTGGTAACACAATTAAGACATTATTTTATTGCATTAACAAAAAAAATTGGTCTAAGACCCACGTTCATTCCCTCCCTCACTTCATTGAAACTTAAACCTCTAAAGGCTGCAAATCCCTCAGTTTTCGAGCTTGCCCACGTTCACTTCCTTTTTTACTCTCCATTCAGTCAACCTTTGGGGTATGGACTTTGCTTATATATATATATTTAGCCCCCACTCACTTAAGGCTATGTAGAGAACCATTTTTTTTTCTAAGGGGTTCCTTCTGAAAAACAGAATTGCTCTAGCTACCATTATATTTTAGTACTATTATACCATATAAGGAGCTATGGCTGAACTCCAAAACAAGAAGCACAAGCATGGAGCTAAGGTCCCTGCAAAGAGAAAGGGATATGGGATTAGCAGCAAGTGTGCTTCTTTGGTTAAGGAGCAACGTGCTCGTCTTTATATCCTACGCCGTTGTGCCACCATGCTCCTTTGTTGGTATATTCAAGGAGATGACTGAACTAAAACACATTCTCATTTCATCTTTTTTTGGTCTTCTTTTAGTTATATATGTTATGGGAATATAGTTTTTCATGTTGAATGAGACAATTTATCTTATATAACATACAAAAATAAATAGATAGGATCTATTTTTATTTTTATTTTTCCTTAATAGATCTTACCTATTTTTTTGTGTATTGCATGAAACAAATAGTCTCGTACAATATGAAAAACTATATCCTCCTATATTATATAAAGTTTACTCTCTTCTATTTATCCATCTTTCAAAATGGTGACACCTTTGTTTGAACAAACTTCCTTACCATGCAATGTTTCTGCTTCTAGCCCAGTTGGGTTTTTTGGGCTTCACTGTGGCTCTCTCACTTTAGTCTCCTTCAGAGGTTCCCTTTTTTTTTTCTCTTTTTAACCCATTTGGAAAAACCCAATGGGTTTTTATGGGTGAAGGAGAGTTTTATTGACCCTTTTTAGTGCTGCTTTTTTTCACAATATGGGCTGGTATGAACACTTTGGAGCTGGCAAGGAAGTACTTAACTGAACGTTTTTCAGCTGATGCTAGAATAATTGGAATGTAGTCCTTAATATGGACACTACTTTTCTGCTTATCTTAGCCAGACCATTTGTCTTGTATTAGATATATTGCTACTTTTCTTTGACTATTGACATTGTAACTTAGAACTAGGATTTGGTCCCTATGCAAGCTTGAAAAAATACAGAAGGGAAACTCATATGTTGTATGTTACTGACAACTTGTAAACTCATAAATCGTTATTCACAAAGTTACTTCATCATGAGAAATATTGTGATAGCTTGGTGTATGTGAATTTGAGGGATAGGGGTGATGGTTAGGGATAAATTTTCAGTACTCCAGCACTAAGTGTTACACCTACTAAAATTAAAAACAAATAACTCACCTAAGTGCAGTTACTACACCAATAAGTGTGTAGTAATAAAGAATATTGTTGCAATTTCACTCTGCATGTACAAAGCACACTGAAAGATATGGTTTTGATTAAAAAAAAAAAAAATGATTGCGAGATTTGCACTAGAGATAAAAATGATTGTGAGATAAAGATTTGATTTGATAACATTATCTGTAGGTAACATGGAATGTTTGACAAAAGGTTGATTTGACTACACAAACTTACTGGCTTGAGCTAAGTCCAGATTTCCATTATATTGCATGGCCTTGCAAAGACAAGCATATCTCTTGATTCATGTTCTTTGTCATAGCAAGTTCACAACATAAGATCTTGGAGGTGCGACAGCACTACCAAGCGTGAGCTAGTGATTACTTCTAAAATAGGCAAGTCGTGCGTGCGGATATCATTTTTAATTAGAAAAATTGTGTATATAATATTTTATTCTTACAAATCGTTCTTTGAGAGGTTTGTGATAGTCTTTGCCATTATAAATAGTCCTTTAACTATACATATATGTCAGTATGTCAATGAAATCCTCATGTGCTACACTATGTTCATTCTTCACTATCAAAAATTGCTTTTTATAATTATTATGCCTTTGCATCACTATGTCAATTCGTATATTTGTTCGGCTTAGCCAAAAAGGCAAAAAAATTAATTTATTACTTTTTTAATAAAAAATTACGAATAAGTTGTCGTTTTGCAAAAAATTACGAATTTATAGCACCCAAACACGCCCACATGGGGCGTGTTCTGATGGAGAAAGACACGCCCATGTGGGGCGTGAGCTTGTAAAGGAAACACGCCCAAGTTAGGGCGTATGCGGCAGGAGAGAGACACGCCCATGTGGGACGTGAGATTCTGAACAAGACACGGCCAAAGTAGGGCGTGTTCTAGGAGAGAGACACGCCCACGATAGGGCGTGTTCTCCGCGGTGTATATAAATCCGTTTTTCACTTTTTTACCTCATTTCCACCCTCTCATCCTCTCTCTAAACCTCCTCCTCCTCTTTCTCTCTAAATTTCTTTTGGAGGGTTTTGCGCAGCGAAGCTCTGTCTCTCTCTCATGTAAGTCCCTATTTATTGTTTATTTTTTTTATTAACAGCAATTAATATATGATAGTTATTAGTGACTTAGATAATTGTTAGGGGGTTAGAAAAATATTTGTGACTTTATTTAATTGTTAGGGGGTTAGAAAAATATTAGTGACCTATGTAAGAGAATTGTGATGTGACTTATATATTATATGGACTTACAAATTAATTAGTTACTTCTAAATTGGTATATGTTGGTTTTATGACTTATTTACACACTTAGAAATTAGTTTGTGACAATTAATATTTTTTTATGAATGACACTTGCAAACATATTGACCTTTCAATTAACCACATTATAATTAGGGTTAAAGACGAATGAATAACGTATGCAATATTAATTTAAATTGAATTTGAATTAATATTTGTATTGAAATATATTGATAGAATAATGTAATGTTAAATGAATTAATTGTCAATGATGTTAATTTAATTGAAATTAATATAACAATTGAAATTAGTTAAATGCTATTTAATTAAGTGCAATTAAATTTTATTTAGTGTAAATTAATATAATATCAATAGTATTTTGGGTACATCTTTTCCATCTGTAGTAGTATTCTATTATGGCCCATTCGTCTTCATCAGAGTCCTCGCGCTCTGGATCCGATGGTGATCTTGAGCCATCCGATCCTTGTACGCATGTACTTCCTGGTCCATATAGGTGGGAGGTACTCCATAAGAGGACACAGCGCAGTCACGTTTCACAAGTTGTGTGGAACGAAGATACGGTTAGGGGGTTAAAGACGAGGCGAGGGAAACTTCAAGGGGGACCCCATCACGATGATATACCAGACGTTGTCGCTGACTATTTGACACAGGCTGGGTTCATACATGTGGCACGTATGAGTCATGTTCAGGTATGTAATGTTTAAATAGCTTAATTAAATTACCGTATGTGGACTTTGTATAATTGTTGTTTTTCCTTCAGATCGATACCCCCTTGATCTCTGCTTTGGTTGAGCGTTGGAGACCGGAGAAACATACATTTCACATGACGCAGGGAGAGATGACCGTTACATTACAGGACGTGGCTGGTATACTTGGTTTGCCTACTGACGGGCGGGCAGTTACCGGATCTACAGCGTTGGATTGGATTGCTATGTGTCAGCAGGTTTTTGGGACTGCCCCAGTTGCAGGCACAGACATTCACGGAGGCGATCTACGTATTTCTTACTTAGACAAGATATATGCTGATTGGTTTACAGTAGCACACAATCCAGAGGAGGTGAGGCGTTACACCAAGGCACACATTTTGCGGCTATTAGGCTCATGGTTAGTGTGTGACAGATCAAGTGGCAGCAAAATTGTTTGTCGTTACGTTCCATTGCTTGCAGGGGACTTTACGGACATTGGCAAATACAGTTGGGGGTCTGCGGTTCTCGCCCATCTCTTTAGACATTTATGTGTGGCAACAAACCCGCGGACTGTAAATCTGGGTGGTTGTCACGTATTACTGCAGATATGGGCTTGGATTAGATTCCCCCCATTGCACCACCTATCCCGCAGCCTACCCACCCGGAGTGGCATTTTGGTCACAGGTATATTTTATTAACTCATATTGACTAATTTATTACATGTTCATTTGTCGAATGAGTATGATAATGGTTTACACATTCCATTACAGGTTTAATTCCCTACCTCCCTTTAAGCCACATGAGCAGTCTTGGTATCGGGCAAACCTTGACACGCTTTATAGAGACGAGGTTTGTGATATCTATTATTAATTGTTTTTTATTTATTTACATATTATAGTTGGTGGTAATTGTGTACTTGTTACTAATTTTTTTATATGTAGGTTGTGTGGCAGCCATACGGAGAGTACCATACAGCATTGTTTGTATCTGATCATGAGCGGTACTTATGGTTGGCCATTACTCCTATCATTTGCTTCCACACAGTTGAGTACGCTCAACCGGATCGATGTATGCGACAATTTGGTTTTGATCAGCCCATACCGCGGAGACCAAGAAAGCTTAAGGGTGTTCATGATCTAACTTTGCGAGGGAAGAAGGATGATAATTAGGAGCGTAAGTTGAGGCCCTTCATACATCGATAAACGATTAGGGATACGTCCATACGTATTCCCCCTGCACTGGTCGGGTTGATGTCCCCGAACCATGAGTACCTACACTGGTACAGACAGCGAGGGAAACGGTTTGTCGCCAGGAAAGCTGCTAGGGTTGGACGAGCAGTAAGTTTTGACACTTCAATTATGAATATGATTATGTGTTTATAAATTTTTAATTATATCATGTTGTTTCATTTCTTTATAGATTGATGGGTTGGAAATGCTATATTTTGCGACTACTGCGGATCAGTTCCCCGCCTTTGGCTTAGAGTGGGTCCATGACGAGATTGGTCGCATTATTGTCATATTCAGAGAGTCGGCACGAGTAGAGGAGCCAGGGCCAGAGGCTCCACCTACGCAGACTGTTGAGGAGCCGATGTTGACCATTGAGGTGCCCAGTGGCAGGCAGGAGGGGCGTGGACTAGGACGACATGTTGGCCTACACATGTTAGTGCACAACATGATTTTATACCATCTGCGAGCGGTGGATATGTTGCTTCTACACCTGGCATGTCTTGCACGACTCCACCAGCTCATGTTCCAGAGGCGGTTGACGACGAGGAGCCATGTCTTGACGCATTTGCACAGGCTATAGAGGCTCAGTCTAGGCGTCGATTACCCCCACGTCAGGCACGTGATAGGCCATGGCCTCGTTGGTCGTAGTTTTATTTCATGTATTGACTGTTTTTTTGTTTAGTTACATGGACTGATGTATTGACTGGTTTTTTGGGACTGTTGTAATTGTGTACTATGCTATCGCTGACTATTGTGGACTGTTTTTTGAATTTTTCTATTAGCATGCAAGGAGTAAACAAATCAGTTTTATGTATGCGATGTTATACGTAATATGCAAGCAAACCACACAATCACCGTAAAAGCTAATTTAAAAAAAACAGAGAGATACATTGTAATTGGCAAATTAATTGTTTATAAGTGACAAACACGCACAATTCATATCATGCATTATTGCCACGGTTAGGACACGACCTACGATTGTGCCCGTGTTGCTTACAAAGACCACATAACCTACGTGATGTAATAATTTCAACCTCATCCATCTCGTTCTGTATTCTTGTAGACTTTGGACGACCCTTTGCCCGCAACATATTGTTATCTGGTATTACCACAGGACCTGCATTGTTGGGTGGAATTGCTTGCTCATTGCCGATTGGTTGCCATGGAAATGAGTATGCCTTTACCAAGTTTGACGTCTTGAATACATCATCTATATATTGTCGATAATTTCGAAGAATGGATAACGTTGCAGCAACGGCGTGACTACAAGGATATTTAAATGCTTTAAATTGTCCACATTGGCATGTACGAGCAGTAAGGTTAACAGCATATGTCCTTTCAAACCCTGCATCCACCTCAAAAACGGTTTCATCAACATTATATGTACGCACAGTATGCATTGTTGCCACAGATTCATTATGTGTCAATGATTCAATCACATTTTTGCAATAACTATGACCAGATTCAAGTTGTCTACAAGCCGATTGACCTCTTTCCACGCAATATTGAACCAATCTACTGTATGTAAATTTTACCAGACCAGTAATGGGCATGTTTCTTGCTCCCTTTAACACTCTGTTTATGGATTCTGCCAAGTTTGTTGTCATATGCCCAAATCTTCGTCCATCAAGGTCATGTGCACGCGACCACTTTTCCTTAAGGATGGCATCAATCCATTCTGCTACCTGCCTGCTTGTGTCTCGAAATCGTGCTAGCGACCTCTCAAAATCCACCATGCAAGGAGTATATCCTGCGAACAATCCACTCTGCTTGATTTTATACCATTCCGCTAGTCAGTTTAGTCACTCACGCCCATATTTGGGCGTGTCTACCCACTGAACACGCCTTATCCTAGGCGTGACCACACACGCCCTACGTTGGGCGTGTTTCCTTCACAAGCTCATGCCCCACATGGGTGTGTCTCTCTCCATCAGAACACGTCCCATGTGGGCATGTTTGGGTGCTATAGATTCGTAATTTTTTGCAAAACGACAACTTATTCGTAATTTTTTATTAAAAAAGTAATAAATTAATTTTTTTGCCTAGCCAAAAATATAAAATATATATATAAAAAAAAACCCGTATATATAGATCGTATCTTTAAATTCGTATCTACCCTAGGATCATAATTGCAAAAGTTTAGTTAAATTTTTTATTAAGCTTACTAATATCTCCAAATTAAGGAATCTTAAATTCAATGGACATAACTAAGATTGGCATATGACGTAACATGAACACATCTAATACACATTCTATCCGTATAATTTAAGTTATGATAAAGTTTAGGATGAGAAAAACAGGACTTTGATCATACTGCCCTTGTTCCCCAAAAAAAAATACCGTAATGCCACAGTTCTGAAATTTTTTCCAAACTGCCACGGTGTCAATCTCGTTGTTAGTGGCAGCGAGAGAGCAAGTTTCAACTATCACAGGCAAAACAAAACAAACTCGTTGTCAATGACAATGAGTATAAACTGCCACGTGACAAAACAAGTCAACTCATTTTCATAAAGCCATAACTTTTGGCTCGCGTGTCCAAGTCTGGTAATTTTTTTTTATTTAACGTAACTTTTTAAGATCTATGCACTGGAAGAATTATTTTTTAGTATTGAAAAATAAAAATAAAAATAAAAATTAAATAACGTCATTCACACAAATAAAATGTGTCAAATGATATACAAAGAAACATTTTTGAGGAAATTTTTTTACCAATGCCCCTCCAGATATTTGTCAACGCATAGATATCGAAAAGTTACGTAAAATAAAAAAATCGCTTGATTCAGACATCCAAACCAAAAGTTATAGCCTTCCAAAGTAAATTTTCAAAATTCTATGACACGTGTCACAAAATGATAGGACACCAAAGTCGTTGTCAGTGGCAACAAGTTTAGACTAAACTCGTTGCCACTGATAGCTACTTTGGTGGCATCAGAAAACGTGTCACGTGGCAAAACATACTCACTACAACTGCTAGCAAGTTTGAAGCCGTGATAGTTTGGCAAATTTTTATTGCGGTTATATAATACACAAATTATCTAATATATAATACACAATATAATATTTAGTACTGCTATATATGCGATTCTTTTTTGTGAAAAAATGCTACTGATATGAAGAACAAGGACTAAAAAATAAATAAAATGAAAAATGGCATTTAAGATCAAAAGAAATTGCTATGTAAACTTTCAGCAAACTCTGGAAATGACATGAGTTAAGTAAATCTCGACAGTAGTAGAAACAATAATTCAACTCACAAAACAATATACTATAGTAGATGTTCCATATGATCATGGCATAATCATGAATAATTTAAAGAAATATTTCAAGCTACAAAGTAAACATACAAAAGCATCAACCTAAGATTGGATCATGTAGATAGCAATATGCTACTTGAACTATGTAACTGGTTCTACAAATCATCATTAAAAAAAATCTGAATGTAAAACCAGAATGATAACACTCCTATAGGTATGTCATCTTTATTTGTCAATCCAATCCTTGAATAGCAACATCATGTAAAGAGGAACATTCACTGCTGCAATAACAGTCAGCATTCTCAGTACGCGTAACATTCTTTGGATTATAAATTTTGTCTTTGATTTGCCAGTTCTGGGAGGTATTCTTGATACTGAAGCCATATCCACATTCACAGAAAGATCTGCTTCCTGAGCAGTATTTTTTCTAGCAGTTTGCCGCATCACAACATTACCCCTGACAGCACATAAAAAACACAAGGAAGGTACTTAAGTTTTATGTCTCCAATGGGTAACAAAGTTGGGGATACTTAATTTTATGTTTCATGACAAACCAAGAGATAACACTTCTAAAGGATTGAACTGCCCAATATATTTTTCACATACAGAGTAATAACAGAGACAATGAGCCATGGAGCAACAGTAAGGTTGCCCCTTGTGACCGAAAGGTCCCGGGTTTAAGTCTAGGAAATAACTTATTTATAAAAATACAAGGATAAGACTACCTACAATCGACACTCTCCCCTACCTTCGCAAGCCAGGAAGTCTTGCGCACTGGGGTTTACCCTTTATGCAGAGAAATACCAGAGTATGAAAACCAAAGTTTACCTTTCCCCTAAGTTCCGTTCATTCGAATTTACAGCAGATGCATTCAAGGGTTTCTTTATAAGATGCATTGATCCTTCTGCATCCCACACCATCTCATATTCGTAGTTCGCATCCTCATCCTTCTCTTTTGTTTCACTTCTAGATAGGATGGATGCTATTAGTTGTTTACAATGGCCCACTAGACTCCAACACTGACGCCACAAACTTGTGCCACTTGTTGGCCAAAATAAGAGGGCAAGAAGGGTCAGAACAAATAGCACAATATACCTGACAGTTACAGCAAAATAGGATTCATTAAAAAAACTGACTCAAAAGCTCAGGTGACAATTATATTAACTTCATTATCAGCATTTAGAGCTACCATATGTAGACGTGTGTTTGCATTGGAAGATAACATAGATGAGTCAACACAGCCTCTTCTGGAATGGAAGCATTTGGAAGAGTTGAGTTATCAACTGATAACAGCATGAAAGAAGGATACAAGTTTCCTTGTTGCCAACTTATAGTACCTAGAGTGTGCTGCGCGCTACTATCAGTTTAAGTGTCCAAAAACTCAAGGAGACTGTCCAGATGAGAAGATCAGGTTCTTACCTCGTTGACAGGCCCAAATTTAGATTGATGAGTGACGGTGCACTGATCGTGATCATGGCCAGACAAAATAAGCTTCTGCAAAAACCAGAACTGTTAACTCTGAAAGTTGTTACCCTCATTTAACTCTGAAAGTTGTTACCCTCATTATCGTCTCCACTCTCAACTCTCCTATATTGTCAAAGCATCTATTGCAAAAGAAAGAATGACATAAAAATGAATAGCACACTATACACATGAAACATATACTAATCGTTGGCAAATCCATGATGTATCAATTTTTTTTTTCCACATCCATAACAGGGTGGAATGGCCATGCACAAGAGTCCAAAGATAAGTTAGATAACTCACAGGTTTGATTGTATCCAGTAAGTATTTGGATGAATCTTCAAAAACATAATTTTGATACCTGTATGAACCAAAAGTAAAACCAAACTTCAGTATCTGTGAGACACTTATACTCAGTTCATGCAATTTTCAGGCTTCTTACGTGATTTTTAAGATGAGTAACTTACGTTATATCCTTAGTATTACCATTTACAGCATGAGATATCCTCTGAAAATTAAAGAAAGACTCGTTACTCATTAGTAGTTTCAAGAATGGAAGGTAAGAAAACATTCAGATTTCAGACACGACCTATTGTCCCACACTATTGTGAGGGTCAATGCCATACAACATACAATATGCTTACTATAGATTCGCTTCCAGAAACTGAAATAAACTTTACCTGATTGATAATTGGGGAACTACGATCAGGGCCACAGTAAGTATCATCCCGTCGATATAAAGGAATATGTGTCAGTAAGACTCTTGGATTAACTACACCATCTAGTAAAGTGCAAAAGAAGTATGGATTATAATAGGACACATGATCCAACCTAACAATGAATCATATGGATAGGCCAGTTTATACCGACAGAGATATTCTTCACAAAGTCCCATGTTTGGGAAGTCAGATGCTTTTGTGGGTGTCCTGTAGAAAACATAACGAGTCCCGTAATTTCAGCTTTTTCAAAATTCCTCAAGGAGTGACTTGTATAAATAGCATATGAATGAAATTTACAATATTTCAGTCATATAAATTATGTTAGTTATTTAAAAAGTTAAAGAATGATTGCTTGTTTAGGAAAGAATCTTTAGTCAAAGAAAGAAAGAAATAATCCATAAAGAATGCCTCAACCAAATGGAAAAATAATCATTGCTATAGGCATGACAAGGGAGGAATAAAGTTCATGTGAAATATAGTAAATGAGATGAGGCAGCAAACGGATACAAAAGCATCTATTGCAAAAAGTACAGCACAGAGAGAAAGTGAAGAGATTGATCAAACGAAAAAAAACTTGATTATATCAGATAAATCAGAAGCGCACATTGAAAGGGAATACAAGTGTAACAGCTTGGAACCACAAAATAAGAGTACTACTATTACAGCATTGCTACTTAAAAACACGACAGCTCAAATTTATAAGGCAAAATCCAGTTTACCATCCAAAGTTTGTGCATCAACAGCAATAAAATCCACTTTTCCAACCGTAAACCTGTAGTTCCTAATCCCAAATGTTTCCTCATAGCGTTGGATAACCTATACTCATGCGATGATAAAAATGTTAAGAGCAAAGAAGAAAAAAAGGTAGACTATATAATTAACAGAAAGTGCAAAAATAGTAAATGTGTTAATCACATTCCATAAATTAGATTGTAAATTATGTAAAATTGAATTGAAAAACTTTAGCATAGAACCTCTTGAATCTTGACAAAGCATTTTGATAAACTTAAGATGTGATTTAAAGTTTTCTTTACATCAATCACAATTAAAAAGACAGGTATCTGAAATAATTCAGTGCCAAATGTCATTTACATGTGTCATCAAAATCAATCATCTGGCAACTTTCAAAAATTTCTGTGTGACATCCACAACCAACACAAGATGAAGGCATATCAATGTTTCAATCAAAATCTGCCATGTTAAATTTACATTCATCTTCTGATAATATCAACAAGACATAAATGTCGAGGGGACTAGTTTATACAAAATCCCGCCCATCAGCAATCTGTATATCATCAGTAAGTCCAAATTTTAAAATCAACAACCCTAAGGTAGCGTTTGGCATTCGGACAGAATGGAATGGAACTGTGGGACTATATATCCATGTTGAGATATATAGTCCCACATTGGTTGTATGTGCAACTAATGTGGAGTTTATAAGGCCTTGGGCACTCCCATCCTTTGAGCTAGCTTTTGGGGTGGTGTATCCCAAGGTTCTTAACATGGTATCAGAGCTTCGCCGCCCCCCACTTTCTCTTGTGGCGTTTCTTAGCACAGGTAGGTTGGGTCTGTTGCATTGTCCACTCTTCAAGCCCAATGGGCTCTCGTGTGAGGGGGCGTGTTGAGATATATAGTCTCACATTGGTTGTATGTGCAACTAATGTGGAGTTTATAAGGTCTTGGGCACTCCCACCCTTTGAGCTAGCTTTTGGGGTGATGACCTCAAGGTTCTTAACAGGAACAAAATGGAACAGTTATGTTCTGTTCTATTCTACTTAGTGCCACCAATTTTAATGCGACCAAAATGTACCAATTTTAAAACCCATAACCTATTCTGCTCTATTTTTAAAATGCACCAAGCACAATAAATGTAATTTCTCATCCCTAAGGTCTTGAATATAGTCACCAGTTCAACGTAACTGTGACTACATTCTCAGTCAAGTGTTTGGCATTTGACTCCCTCATAGTCATAGCTATATATCATACACGTCAAAGCAAGCAAACTTATAGTTCTTGGAACTTGGGCATCAAAAGTGGAGCAGTAACATGTTGAAATACCTCTGGCTTTAGAGAATGAAGACTTTCATAGCCAATATCATGGTTTCCAGGAATGTAGTAAACTTGCATGTCTGTGTATTTTCCTTGTGCATCCAAACCAAAGATATGTTTGAAGCGACTGAAAGACTCTTTCCATCTGTCCATCCAAAAGGTTGTAAAAGAATTTCATAATAGGAAATTTGAGAGAACATTCTGAAGATATACAACCAAAGGAAACAATCTTTTGAAGTTTAGACGAGTCAAACCACAATTTACTCGAAATTAATCAGGGATGGGTCATTAGTATATGATCCTTTAAAAGAAGTTGACTATAGCAATCTAAGATTAATTTTTCTTTTTTCTTCTGCTTATAACATTATCAAAGTTTAAGCTAAATATGTAAATCAATGACTAAATAATCAATTGAAATAAAGAATTCAGAGAAAAAAAAGGGGTTAAAATTTAACATTTAGCATCACCCAAGTAGCCAAAACATCAGGTATTACAAAACAAATATATATGTTTATGGTTTTTTCATGCATTTGGTTTAAGCAAAATGTTCAAATCTTTGACCTGATACTCATGTCTATAAATTTTCAGTTGGATTCTGTGGTGATCATCTGATGATTGTTTTGGAGGGGCTTCTTTGTAAAACATGCACAGGGACTGGAACTACCTTTCTCTTCACTTTTTACCTTCTTTGTCCAAAATATTCTTCTTTGAAACCAAATAAAATAAAAGAGTCAAATAGACATCCAACCCATAAAAAGTTACCAGCTCGTTGGTTATGTTGTTTTCTGAAATGAAAGGTTTATATTGAATTCCAAAATCATTCCAGGTGGAAAAGGCTAACTGGAAAAAGTATACATGGCATAATAGATAACAACAAAACTTACTATAAACTGGTGAAAACCAAATCAACAAGCAGAAATATTACTTTCAGGACTTACTCTTCATCTGATAAATAAGGACCTCCATCGAAGTAATCACCTAAAAACAATATGACATCAGGTTTGAAAGGCAGGACAGATGAAAAGAATGATCTACGCATGTTTAAATCAGTGTAGAATTCTGCAATCTCCAGTGCAAGTGACTTTGCAGGAAGACGGAGAGAAGTTTTATCCATGAGCTGTTAATGTTTAACAAAAAGTCATATCAGAAGATATGATAGATATACATCCACAGAAACATACATTAATAGATGTGCAGAAACAGGCATAAGCAATGCAAGTATATTTTTCATGAACATGTGTATGCCCCCATAACCATAAGAGAATAAAAGTTCACCTGGGGATCAGCAATAACAGCAACTTTTACATAATCAGCTTGATTATTCCTACTGTCTGTAACCTGCAAGCAGAAAATCAGAAAATCAAGTTAGTTAGTTATGCATTTCACTATGTTTACATTATGACATTGCAATGTATACACATTTTCAAATGTGCTGTTAAAGAAGCAATCATGCTGGTTTAGGTTCACCTTTTTAGCTACAGCAGCCACTAGCCTAGAATCATCAAACTCTTCAATGATCCACAAAACCCCATAAATAATTTCCAGCAAAATATAAAAATTTATAGATCCAGCACAAACTCCCCACACAATCCTTGGTAAAATTATTACATGTAAAAACAAAAAAACTCATATTTGAAGATACCAGCTAACAGAGTGTCTTAAATTCCATAATTTACAAAAACCAAAAAATAAAATAAAATAAAATAGTTAAAGATTCATTGTTCACCAACACCCCACCCCATAAACAGCATCGAAAAAAAAATATAAATATCTGGTTTTGGTTGTAAACTGTGCAAACAATATAAAAAATTGAGTGTGACCCAAAAATGAAGGAAGTGAAAAGTTGAAGACTTTATGGTTACCATTGAAGAAGAAGAAGAGGGGAGAAGATGGGGCCATGAACAGGTGAAGAGCGGTGGAACCCAATAAGCGAACATCTCCCCATAGAGAAGGGTTAGTGCCCAAATGAGGCACAGTAACACAGTCAATTCCTGCTGCTTCATCACTGATCTTCCTGATCCTCCAAGTTCAACAATGGAATCAAATTACAGTACCTCATTCATCGTCTTTTTTCTTTTTCTTTTTTATTATTTTTTTTTTTTAGGTTTCTGGTCAAGCTAGTTCTGATATTGGCACTATTGAAAATTAATTTATTTCTTTTTCGGAGTTTTAGTAAGTATATGGTTGGTAGTAGAGGTGGCAAAGTGGATGGTCCGCTCCATCCCACCCGGTCATCAACTCGTCAAAAAATGAGTCAGTCTGTCCCGTCTCGCTTTTGAAGGTGGCTGAAAAACTCAGCCCGCCCCGCCCCGTTTGGCGGGTTGGGCATGTTGGCTCGTCAGTCCGAGCCTACTTTACACTGACCCGTCTCGACCTGCCTATGTCCGTCATCAACTCGCCAAAAAATAAACCCACCTCGCTCTGCCCCACTTTTGAGATGAACTGAAAAACTCAATCCGTCCCGCCTCGTTTGACGGGTTGGGTGGATTGGCTCGGCTTGCCAACTCTAGTTGGTAGGAGTAGGGCAATTTTTTTTTTTTCTAAAGTTTTGCAAAATATTTATTCTTTAAAAAAATGTATTATACAAGTATTTTAAAGTCAACCTTAATAATGAATTTATTAAGAGTTATGTTAAAGCTAATGGTTAAGAAATATTTAATATTTTTTCTTAATGTTGGCAGGACATTAAAATATAAAATTTTGGGATATGTGCAATATTTATGTGGTGGCCTTCTCAAAAAAAAAAAAAAAAAGTCTTAATCTCTTGCTTATATGGATAGATCCAAGAAAAATATTTTTCAATTCCTCGAGGATATAATTTTGAATGGTATACCAACAAAAGGAGCGAAAGAAGTGTTAGGTTGTGTTTGGTTCAAGCTTTTTGTGTAGATCCCTATCTATCTCAGTTTGGCAATCCATGTTGCCTTTGTTTGGTTGAAGAAAAACAATATTTTAGCTATCAAACTCACTTTCCTATCCATTCAGAAATGCATGCAAAAATGGAAGGAAATTACTGTTGAACTTTATCATTTTGTAATGTGGTATTTGGAGAAAACCATCTAAATGAGAAAAGGTGAAGGACAAACATGACCATAATACCCCCTCTTCTGACTACTATCATCTCAGACTAACCTTCCACTACCAAAACCCAAAGTACATATCTGAAATAAAAATATCATACTAAATGGCGACAACATCACTGAAGCATCTACTTGTTATGGTGGGAGGTGAGGTAACTCAATCTCAGCTTTCATTCTAAGTTTCACTCCAGTGAAATCTGATGCGCTATTCCAATGGTCTCCTTATGCTAATTCAATAGCAGCTGGGTCGTGCTGAATGAGGGAGAAAGCTCAAGGTCCGGATAAAACCTTTGATCAACGGTCAATGTGCTCATTTCTCGATTGGGAAGGGGGAATCCAAAGAAAGGAAGATAAAGAGTCAAACAAAAAGTTGTTTTTATGTTATGAAAAAAAAAATTGAGAACACAAGATCTCTTTCACCCTTTGAACTTGAACTTGGAGACAGACAGATATGGAAGCTTAGATGAATGGCGCAACTGATAACCAACGGCATTCTAACCATTATTTTATTTATGCAATAGTTGTTCTCGTTGAAATATTGTAAAGGTTATTTTGTAATTTCATCCCATTTTTCCATCAATATTTTCTCTTCAACCAAACATAGACATAATATATTTAACCAAATTTTTCCAGTAAATTTTTTTCCAACCAAACAACTTTTTTTATATTTTCCTACCAAACTCACTTTCCAACCATTTCCCTATCAATTACATTTCTCTAATATTCAAAAAATTTCTCCTCAACCAAACGCCCCCTTAAGGTAATCGGAGACATTGTCTTCACAAATATAATTGCTTGTTTAAGGTCCTGCACAAATAAATTTTATGTTGTAGGAAAATTTTAATCTCATGTCATAGATATATCAAGTGTGAGATTCACTTATTTTAAAATAATAAAAAACAAAATTATGAGTGGCGTACATTTTATGATATGTGTAGGAATTATTTATTTTCTTATGTAACATGAGAAAAATAAATTTCAATATTTAATGTGAGCAAAATACATTGGGTTAGCTTCTAAGTAAGCTAGCGGGTTAGACTTAGGGATTTATACTCTTTTAGTTTAGTACGGTCGTATTGTCTAAGCAATTGGATGTTGCACTATTGAATAACTAAAAAAAATTTACTATGTAATGCCCAGTTATTTTTTTTTTCAAGATATTTTGTTGCAGGACATCCGAGGGACCCATCATATAATAGGTTTAACATTTTTTTTTATTATTGAATAGGTTTAACACTTTATATAATGAGTTTTATGTTTATAATGTAACATTATATAACATCACTTTCTTATACACACATTAAAGAGGTGGGGTCCACATATTTTTCTTTCTCTTTCATCGTTTCACTTTCTCTCTCCATTTTTGTGTGTGTGTTGGAAACAACACTTAAATCATGTAACATAACACTAATAAAACCCATATATAATTGTTAACATGGTTAAAGTCATTAAATGGTGTGACATTGAGACACCATACAATTGGATGCAAGTATAAAAAAAATTTACATTGATAGTATCACAATTACTCATAATAAAATAAAATAGGAAAAGATTCGTTTACAAAATTTTTTTACAAATTTTTATAAATTACACTATGTATTCCAGGAAGTACATAATGTAAGTAGCGTACTTCCGAGAGTACATAGTGTACTTTGTAAACAAAAAGTTTGTAAATATTACTCTCCCCAAAATAGAGAAGAATCTGTTTATAAAATTTTTTTACAATTTTTTGCAAATTACACTATGTACTTCTGGAAGTACATAGTATAACTCAGTGTACTTCCAGGAGTACATAATACAGTTTGTAAGAGTTTGTAAAAAAAAAAATTATAAATATCACCCTCTCCTAATAAAATAGCTATAAATAAAAAGATAGATTCATACAGACAAACAATTAATTAATACATTCTAGATTATTAAAGGCTCGTTAATTATCTACAACTATTCCTTTGTACATGACTTTCTATATTCAATTTTAAAAAGCCTAATCACATTGGAAAGCAGGTACCTAAGCCACTATGGTGTGCTACTCCTATAGTCCTATTCATTCCTCTTATTTTATATGATTTCATTCATTTTGAGGGGCATAATGTATATTATTCCATTTGATTCTGCGTTTGGTGACAATTGTTAATTTCAAATTCCAAGCCCAGCCATTATGTGCTCATTGCCCCACCACTGAAAATGAACCCCACATTTAATGGGCAAGAAAGACTTTCTAGTCTCTACCAAAAACAACCAAAAAGATAGATATTGAGTCAAGAAGTAATCATTAGCAAGTTACATTGATGCTACATCTCCAATAAGCTTCCAACATGTTTCTCTGTAGTTGAATATATATCATAATGCTGATTGTTCTACTTTTTGGCCATTCATCTCTTCATTGATTGCGTGCACTTCTGCTTTTGTTCTTTTGGCCTCATATTTTGTCTTGTTGCCCAAAACTTCAAATTAACTCAAGGTATCTCCTATTTAACAATGTCAATGTTCAGTTCTGGAAAGCATGTCGTCTTCACTGTACAAATTCTATTATGTCAATTATTTTAAAATCACAAATTGTCAAACCATGAAATTCATAAATGTCATGCTTATTTCCTCTTCTAGTAGAACTTAGTTTTGTTGCTTGTGCATATTTAGTTCTTCTTTTATATGAACGGTTTTCTGTCCTAGTGTTACATGAAAACACAGGTGTATACACAAAACCAAGACCACTAATGTACATGCTTAAACACAGCAGGGACATGAAGGCAAAGGGTGCTTGAACTGTTATTTGTTTTAATTATCCATTTCATTACTGATTCAGAGAATAAAAAACACGACAACTTGTTATGTATGAACTTAGGCTTTTCCATATATCTATTGATAGCATAAATTTTTGAGGCATTTCTTTAAGTAACAAAAGTAAACCATAGTGTGAAATTCGCTTCAATTTGAGATGTCAAGTTCCAGTTTGTATTCTCACTAGTTTCATTGATCTATTAATACTTACTTACCTGGAAATGAGTAACTCATTTGAAGCATATAAAAAAGCAGTCTTCTCTTGTACAGAAGATATACAGAAATGGATAGAGAATGGAATTTGTTACACTAGTTACCATTCAGTTCAGTTGCTCTTGAAATATGTAATGTCTAACAATATAATTTTGTCAAGAAGAACAAAGCAAACGGTCTTGTGCTGGATGGAGGTAGGTATTAAAGAAAAGTTTTTTTTTTTTTTTTAAATTATGAACTTAAACTAAACGTACTTTCTGTAATAAAAAGGACCTGACATTTAGTTATTAGAATGGTAATAATCAAAATCAGTAAGTTGTAGCACTGCTGTAATAAGATTGAAAAGTAAAACAAGAATTCATATAACAAAGGCTTGCATTGTCTAGGATGCTGTATTCATCATAGGTGTTATAATGTGTAGATTCTGCATAAGCAATGACACTAGTTCCTAGAGTAGAAAGTTCTTCAGATGAAAATGGATGATCACATAATATAATTCACAAAATCTTTCTAGAAATATTATTCTGACAGGGGGAATCAACATTTACAGTGGTAAAAATGACAATCCTGTATTTATAGAAAAGCAAAATTTTTTGCACAAGTATACATATCTACTGTCAAGATTTGTTGAAGGACAAACATTCCTCTCTAGTCATTATTTCTGTGCTGGTTGGCTGATCCTACATTCTTCAGCCATTCAACAACTTCTCTGATGGTTGGTCTCTTGAAAGGATTGTGGCTAACACACATGCAGGCCACATCAAGTACCTGAAGCATCTCTCCTTCAAAGCCCTTCCCTCTCAGAAGAGGGTCAAAAACTTGATCTTGTTTTCCTTCACTCCTCATCTGATGAATCCAAGCAACCAACTCTCTTGACATTTTTGGCTTGCATACATCAATAGGCCTCCTCCCAGTGAGAAGCTCAAGCATGACAACTCCAAAGCTGTACACATCTCCTCTCAGAGTAGCCACCCATGCTTGTCCATACTCTGGTGGAATATAACCTAATGTACCTACAAGTTCAGTTGTAACATGAGTATGATATGGAAGAATCAACCGGGACAACCCAAAATCAGCAACATGTGCCTCAAACTTTTCATCAAGGAGTATATTGCTTGACTTTATATCACGATGCACAATGTGTGGTTCACATATCTGATGTAAGTAAGCCAAACCACCACTTGCACCTTGTGCTATCTTCAAACGAGTTGGCCAATCAAGTTGAGATGCACCATCAGCCTTTTCATGCAACCAGTAATCCAAACTTCCATTCTCCATGTAAGTATACATGAGAAGCCTAAAGCCATTATGCACACAATAGCCTTGTAATGCCACCAGATTCTCATGTTGTGCTGTTGACAAAGCCTCTACTTCTGCTTTAAATTCCCTTTCCATAAGACCCAAATCTCCTGAAAGTTTCTTGATGGCTAGTGTAGTTCCATTTGGTAATGTTGCTTTATAAACCAAACCAAAACCCCCACATCCTATTATGTTTGCCTGGCTGAAATTTTCAGTGGCTTTTAAGATCTCAAATATGGTAAGATCCTTGGTTTCAATGGTTTTGTTGGGGAACAATACCACTACACTAGCCTCCTTGTCAACCTCAGGATGAACCCCACTGTTGGAGTAGGCAGAAATTGATTCCAGTTCAATTTTTTCTGGCACTCCTCCTGGATTGACCTTCCTCTTGGAGAGTAACCATATTACCAACACTGTCATCATGGAAGAGATGCCAAAGCAGGCTGCAATGATAAGTCCAGTCATTGCTTTTCTGTTTGGTCTGTGACTAGCTGCAGTACTATTAGTATTTTGTTGAGAAGAACAAGGGTGCTGAATAATTGAACCACACAATTGTGGATTTCCTTCGAAGCTGGAGGAGGAGAAAGTATCAAACTGACCACCACTTGGTATCTGTCCTTGAAAATTATTGTACGCTACACTGAAAAAAGACAAGAAGTGTAATCTTTTGAGTGAGTCAGGGATATCACCAGATAGATGGTTTCTTGAGAGGTCTAGTTTCTCTAAGTTAGTCAAGTTTGAGATTTCAACTGGTATATTGCCAGAGAAGTTGTTGCTTTTCAGGTCCAGCTGATGAAGGACTTTTAGTTGACCAATCTCAATTGGGATACTGCCATTAAGGTGATTGCTTCCCAGATATATTGCTGGTGGTAGGCTGGAAAGCTGATTATATTGCATCTGGGAAACATTGTTGGCATTAGCAAAGACAGGTAACTCCAAGTAAGTCCTTTGTTCATTATTATATGCTTGTTGAGATGTTAGTGTTGGGAGTCTTGTGAACTCCGTTGGGAAAATTCCTGTAAGGAGGTTAAAAGACAGGTCTATGTAGAAAAGCTGAGGAAGTGTACCCAACAAAGGAGGAATTGAACCACTAATTTGATTATAGGACAGGTCCAAGGCCTCAAGCTTCTTCAGATTTACAAGCCAGTCTGGTATTTGACCTGTGAGATTACAACCACCCAAGCTTAGAACCTGGAGATTTTGGAATTCATCCGGGCCTATTAAGTTTACATCACTTGGTATCATTTCATTGTAAAAATTCTTGGAGAGCATAAGGGTACTTAGCTTCTTGAGTCCTGTGAGTATTCTCAGAGCCCCAGTGACATTCCTCAGGTTGTTACTAGAAACTGCTAGGAAAGAAAGGGACTCAAGTCCAAGTATCTCAGGTGAAATCTGCCCCTCAAGTTGATTAAATGCTAGCCTTACTGCTGCAAGTGACTTGCATGCATAAAGGGTTGGTGGTAAAACACCAGTAAAATTATTGTTGCCAAGGTCTAGTGTAGCAAGTCTGAGGAAACCTGAGAAATTGAATACTGAGAGATTTCCCTCCAATTTGTTGACCCTTAAATTCAACACAACAAGATTGACACAGTTCATCAGAGATGGGGGCAGGGTACCAGTCAAATTGTTGACATGAAGAAGTAGCTGTTCCAATTTGGAGAGTTTACCAATATCAGAGTGAATTGGACCCGTGAGATAATTGGAGTAGAGCTCCAAAACTGTGAGGTTGGCAAGGTTAACAATGCCATCACCAATTGTTCCACTGAGTTTATTGAGTGGCAATGAGATTTCTGTGAGAGAAACAGCCTCAAAAATATCACTTGGGATAGTCCCGGTTAGAAAATTGAAACCTGCTCGGAATATCTCCAGCTTGGAACATGCTCCTAGACCAGGCTGAATGGTACCATCAAAACCATTGGATGAATAATCCAAGAATCTGAGAGAAGAGGAGTTATGGTCGTTAATGCAAAAGAGAGAAGTGGGAATTTGACCTGTGAAGCTGTTATTACTAACATTGAAAGATATCAAACTCCCTCCTGCTGCTGCACCAGCAAGTTTCTGAAGTAGAGAAGAAGGGAGTGCTCCATTGAACGAATTACTAGACAAATCCAGCTTCTGAATAACACTAACACTACTATTGCTGCTACTGTTATCAGCAACAAAGGGCGGCAATTCACCAGAGAGACGGTTGTAGCTTAAATCAAGAACCAGCAAGTGATTAAGCAATGAGAAAAACTGGTGTTGGAGATTACCAGATAACCGATTATGAGATAGATTAAGGTGAGAGAGAGAAGTGAGGCCTATGAGAGATGAAGAGATGAAGCCAGTGAGACCTCTAGATGGTAGCAAAAGATGAGTGACTTGAAGATCCCCATCACAAGTGATACCTTCCCACAGGCAGCAATCAGCAGAAGTAGACCAATTGAGAGAAGGGTAAGGCAAAGAAGTGGATATGTTACTAGAGAAGGCTAAAAGAGAGTCTTTCTCAATTTGGTTACAAGAAGAGACTTGAACAACCAACAAGGACAGAATAAGTAACTGTACTATTATGAAAGGGACCATTAACTTGGAAACCATGTAATAATATGCAGAAGAAGGATGAGAGGGTGTTGATGTTGATGGGGTTGATCTTGTTGTTGGCTTTTGTGTAGCCTTTGTCATTAGAACAACAGATACAAAGAAGGTAAAGATAGAGTCTTTGTTGTGATCCTTCCTCATGAAACAAGAAGAAGAAGGAGAAGGAGAAAGGGGACATAAGGGTGTCATAAGCCAATATGATTTGAGATTTTTGGGATGGCATGGCAATGAGCATAACCATCCATTGACACTGCAAAATGAAGGGTGAGAAAGAAAGAAAGAAAGAAAGAAAGAGAGAGAGAGAGAGAGAGTGGGGATGACGTTGACAAGTATAAAAAATAACCAGTGGATGCTTCCCATTAATAAAAATAAATAAAATAAATAAAAATAAAATAAAAAATGAGCGTTTACTTTGAGGGGCGGCCAGTAGTGGCAGAGTGGAATTTCTCAAAGATGATAATGAATATCATAGTTGACAAGTCTGCCAATCAGATAACATGTGGAGCAGACATCACAAACCCAAGTTTTATTGATGTCTGGTCTTCATGTTCTTAAGCTGCCACCAAACTGAAGCACCTACCATTTTCTGTTATTATATCTCTATGAAGATCTAAACATATATATATACATACATATATACATATATAATTCCAAAATGGGTCTTGCACTTGCATCTACACTTTAACTACCATTATTTTGTACGTATGAAGATTTAAGCATATATTACTTTTATTTATTTTTTTCCTAAATGGGGCTTGCACGTACATCTTCACTTTTGTTCGTTTTATGTAACATGTAAGGTGTGGCACTCAGAACACGGATTTTGAGAAACACCGTTAAAATTTTAACAAATATGTCTATTTTACCCCGTCAAAAAATAAATAAATAAGGGAGGCAAGTGTTTAAAAATAAAAGCATATGAGGTGATTAAAAAAAAATACATGGGATAAGTAATTAAAAAAAACATAAGGGGCAAAAATCACAGTAATTTTTGAACTTTTTCCTTTTTATTTTTTTGGTATAGAAATATGGGACAAGATTCTTTGTCACTAGTATCTAACTAAAAAATTTGACTCCAAATTTTAACCGTTGATTTTCTTCAATCTAACGATTATAATTTATTGGGTTAAACTCATTAATTAATTAATAATTCTCAATAAATTATAATCGTTGATTGATGAAAATTAATAGTTAGGATTTGGTATTAAACTTCTAAGTTTAACACTGGTATCAAAGGATCCCATATCATAATATTAGGAAAAATGATATATTTCCATATTTTATTTTTAGAATGGATTTCAACTACCAATTCAAACATAAATTAAAAAAATAAATTAAAAGTGCACTTTTTTCATGCTGATCAATTTGGTTTGGGACATAATTCTTATCTTTTTATTTTCTTCACAAATCAACAAATTAAAAGTGCATTTTTTTTCATAAAAACAAACAATAAATTCGATATTGGAATGAGCCTACTTTTTATTTTTATTTTTTATTTATTGAATAATGTTGAAATGCGTCATGGATATATTTGGCCTTTGAATCCTTGTTTGTTATGTTTAGCAAGTATTTATGTAATTTAGAATAACATAGTATTTCTAGTAATATTGTCATTTTATGCATTTTGTTTTTTAATCACTTACCTTATGTCTTTTCTTTTTTACCCTATGTGTTTTTTTTTTAATCAGTTACCCCCTTGTTAATTATTTATTTTCTGCTCAGTAGACAAAATAAATATATTTGCTAAAAATTTAACAGTGCTGACTGCTAAAGGTGAACTTGAATGAAAAAAACTATGGAGAGATATATATGATAAAAAAAATGGGCGTAAGTGATTCTGAACTTTTCCTTATTTTCTATTATTAAGTTAATTATTTTTTTAAAGGGAAATTTCAAATATATTTTTATCTTATTCTTTTCTTTCATATTTTCTTTATTTAGAACTTATTCAAATGCATATACAATAAATAATAACATATGAGGAAGGTTATACTTACAATTGTTTACAACCATATTTTAACACCGTTAATTTTCTCCAATCAACGGTTATTATTTTTCAAATTAAATTAATTAATTAATTAATTATTAATTCACAATAAATGATAACCATTGATTGACAGAAATCAACGGTTAAGATATAATTGTAAGAGGTTGTAAACGAAAATAGGTTGTAAGTATAACCTTCCTCGTAACATATTAAAGGTAAATAAGTCATATTTTATTTTTCAGATATTTAACTTAAGAAAATTACATTTTTATTCATATTCCAGGTTGCTTAATCAATTTTTTTTTAAAGCGCTTATAAAAGTTGTGAGAAGGAAGAAGGGATTTGGGGGTGGAAGTGGAAGGATGGAAATAACCCAATACTTCCATTTTTAAGTGAAGTATTGGGTTATTTTTCAAAGGATATTTTTCAAACTAAAGGTTAGAGCACCGAATCTATATCATATACCCATTACCCATACATCATGGTGTTTGATATGTTTTTATATATATCATGACATTTTTATGCCCGTAATCAATTTTAAATATAGAACAAGATAACCTAAATATATATATATATATATGTATATATATATATATATATATATATATATATATATATAACGGTTTTGATATTTTAAATGGGATAAATGTTGAACGTAACTAACTAAGAATACCTTGATTATATGCATATATACTTTCAAGAAGATTATTATTATTATTATTATTATTATTATTATTTATAGTACAAGATTCTTATTTTTTTTGATTAAGGCCTGCAATTGTCTTGTTTGTTTTAATGTAACAAATTGTTTTATGAGATAAATGTTGAACGTAACTAAGTAAGAATACCTTGATTATATGCATATATATATACTTTCAAGAAGATTATTATTATTATTTATAGTACAATATTCTTATTTTTTTTTATTAAGGCCTGCAATTGTCTTGTTTGTTTTAATGTAACAAATTTTTTATTTTTATTTTTGGAAATCTTATTGTAACAAACTTTAGTTAAAAAATAAAGATTAATTTAAGAACCGATTGTAAAGTTTTACTTGTAACTTACATGAATTTTTTTTGGTGAACGATATATGAAAATGTTAAATTAATAGGAATAGACAATAGTGCTCCAATCAAAAGATGAAAGTAACATTTCAAACACCACCGATATAGACAGCAAAGTACAATAGACCTGTTTTTTAGGTTATCTTGTTCTATATTTAAAATTGATTACGCGCATCAAAATGTCATGATATATATAAAAACATATCAAACACCATGATGTATGGGTAATGGGTGTATATGATATAGATTCGGTGCTCTAACCTTTAGTTTGAAAAATATCCTTTGAAAAAAAAAAAATTCTTTGAGTCATTTTATTCGAATAGTTAGTTTGATTTTCCTTTAAAAGAAAAACACAAACCTTGCTGACATTCTTTTTATTTCTTCATAAAACAACAAGTAGGACTTTTTAAACCAAACTATCATAAAACATTGGAATATCCAACGCATATTATGCAAATTGTCAAATTATTTAACCATAGGAATAAAATATACAAGGTTTGAAACCGATTATAGTATCATAACTCCTGTTGACTTACTAATCATTACATTTTATACGTTAAGGATAGAGAATTTGACTAAAAAAATCTTCAAAGTGTTTCCAAAAAAAAAAGTCTTCAAAGTAAGTTGTTTTAAAATAAATAAATAAAAATATATTTAATATTATATTTACAAATTTTTTATTTATAAACTCTTACAAACTACACTAAGCATGACCGATCATACTTCAATCAAGAGTGTATGACCGATCATACTTAGTGTAATTTGTAAAAAAAATTATAAACGGATCTTTCCCGTTAAAAATAACTTTAAACATATCCTTTCTTATTTAAAATTGTGTCTGATTTTCTAAGACAATTACATGTATAAGATTTAGGTTAGACTAACTCAGGCGAAAAGGTTGGAATTCCTTTTCATGTGTATTAACAATAACCTGTTGAAGGTATAATAGTGCAATTTGCGGTCAATAGTCAATGTTATGACGCATATTAATTAACGAAATTCTGTCATTATTATGTGATTGGTGAATCAAGTGGAGAACCACATCTGGTTAATTTTATTAACTAACATGCTTGCTTCCTATCACTTGATACTTTGAATGTTTCCTTAGTTTTTTTTTTTGGTAAGCAATGTTTACTTCTACATTCAATATTCAATATTATTCATGAGAGACTATTTCTAAACATGTAATGTATCTCCCCACCAATATCACATTTGGAAGGGGCATAAAATTTTAATGGCAAAAAAATTAAAATATTACACTTTTAATAATTAAATACGAATAGGTTGCAATTTGGAAATATCTACGAATCTATTACAGTCATTCACGTCCATTGGGGCGGGAGAAGTCACGCCCAAGTGAGGCAGAAATTGCCCTGAATTCATGCCCTAAGGAGGCGTGACAATTCACGCCCAAGACAGGCGTGAATTGCTTGCCCTATATAAATCCCAAAATTGCCACTTTTCCCTCTCACTCCTTCTCTCTAACTTTCCTCTAAAGTTTCTCTGCCTTCTCTCTAGATTATTTGCGGAGCATTTTGCGCGGCGAAGCCCTGTCGAACAAGTAAGTCTTCATATCTGTTTTATCAAATAGTTATTTATAATATGATACATGTTATAATAGTAATTTAGGGCAATGTTATTAAAATCGGCCCGATCACTGACCCGATCGAGGTACTAGGTCACTGGTTCAACCAGTGGGTCACTGGTTGAACCGCATGACCCGATGATTATATATAAATCTATAATTTATATTAAAAAAATTATAAATATACTCAAATAGCTGAAAAAAATAATATAAATTCTAAATATTTTAATATAAAAGTAATAAATTATACATCATTGTGCAATAAAAGATCAAACAAACACATAATGGATAATGCTTGTTTTATTGGTGTTTCAGGTTCGGTAAATGACATCTCTAACTATCAAATAAAAAATCTCTGCATAGTGCATAATTGAGATAATATTAAGATTGTAGGTACATAACTTATGTAGGTCAATAAGTAACAGATAACTCAAAATGTCAACTATGATTTTTTTTTTGGAATTTTTTTTAAAAAAAATATTTTTAAAAAAAAACCGCGTCGGGTCACTGGTTAACCGGCCGGGTCACCGGTTTTTCATCAAAACCGGCCGGGTCGCACCGGGTCGTACCG